TTTTGTAAGGATCACTTATAAATTGCTTTATGTTCTTTTGGCCTGTCTGTTCCTAGTACAGGGAAAGTAGGTGTGTAAATTTGAATTGTAGCCAGAGTAGTATCTTCACGGTTTAACAGCTTGGCATTCTTTCTAATGACCCCTGCTGTGTTTACTGGGAGGTTATATAGAGATGCTAGGCTGCCTTTTTTGTAGTGCTCTAGCAGCCCTTGCACTCAACTAAATCTTCACAAACCTGTTGGACGTATTCTGAAAACCAAGTGTAGCTGTGCTGTAGCAGTCAATAGTCAGTTTATGTGTGCTACATTATAAATTACTACAAATCAGTCTTTCAAGTCATGTTAAATATTTCACATGGGTTAAAATTCCTATGCCTCTTGAAAATGCAGTCTCAGCAATGAATAGGGAAGTAAGCAGTTTTTTCTATATGTTTTGCCTCCTCTTAAGCAGCTGATGACAAGGTGTTGAAAGCCTATCAATGGATGTGCTTTTGATGCTTGGAGGAGGTGCACATATTCCTCTGATGGAATATACCCTTATCTTGTGCAGCTCGGTTTCTCCCTTTATAAAATGGCGTTATATTTATCTACATATGTAGTATGTTTTTCAAATCCAGAGATGAGAAATGCAGCCTCAGAGGTATAGTCACACTACAGGATAGAGAAGAAGTGGTTAATCAGATTTAGTACATGGGAATAAGTGGGATGAGAAGGTTTGTTGCACATCACCAGAATGTTTCTAGAACCCAGGTGAACTTGACAAAGCAAACTCTGAAATGTATAAACGTTTGGTGCACAAAATACTTAGGTGTCATTCATCATTATGTACCCAGGAGAACTGAGTTTGAGATTCTGCAAAATCTTCCTAGTTGTTGGTGCATAATGAAGGTCAGTCTGGACTATAGTGAAACTGATATGCTGTCATTCATTTAGGATTTGGATGAAATAGTTCTATTGCCCGCCTCCTTCAATCCTTCCATTTTCTTCGAGAACCACAGCTGGTACAGGAGAGGGGTATTGATTTACTTGGGCTTTAGCCATATATAATGGAAGTAATATAAGGAGAAAAAATATTAACAGATTAAGATGATTGGTTCCTGTTCTATTAAGAAGTGTACTTGTCTACTGTCTTTTGATGTTATCTGTAGTTTGGAAAAGTGTTAGGACCTTTATCTATTTAATAACTATCCAAGAGACATATGTGGTGAAACTTCGTTTCAATATATGCACACTTGGTGCTAAGATGATAATGACTCCTCCATTTCTGATGGCATTTTATTTTACATAACTACAGTCAGTAGTCCAGAAAAGCATAGGAAAGAGTTCACTAGCAATTTTCTACTGGAACCTGTTCCTGGCAGTAGAGTCATATAGAAAATATTAGGCACTTTGAGTGAATTTGCAATTTTGGGGTAAGTTTTTCACTTTCAGGGATAATTGAATTATGGAAAATTTGTTTATTCCGACTAACATGTTTCTCCTGTCCTCTTTTCTGGTTGAAACATTGAGGAAAAGAAAGTTCTTCTGACTGCTCAGCAGTTAAGTGTGGGGTCCAGGACTTTCTTCACAGTCACTCCTTGCTGGCAGAGCAATGATTGCTTATTGAACTCTCTCTCTATTAAAAAATATGTTATACTCTATTGTGGTTAGTATATGTGGCTGAAATTTTGAAATAGCAGAAGTATCTCTTCTGATTATGCTGAAGCTATTTGTCAGCTGTTCCCTAAAACTGCCATAGTTTGCATACACAGTTAGGGCTTTTGGCTAAAAATAATCTTAATAGAACGTAAAACAATCTTAAGAATTAGCACTGGAGTAGTAAATTTTGGCTACCAGGAACTGAGTTTTCTGTAGCAGTATTTAATCCTGTTTGCTCATAATGTTTTCACAGTACAACAGAATCATTTTAGAGCCTACTGATGTTGAGACCATGGACTGACGCAAAGCTGCCCAGGAGTGTTTAGGCAAATCAAGTGCATTTTCTATGAGAAAAGAACAGCAAGCTCGAAGACTTGTTATACACAAGAATTTTATAAAAATGAAGGATTTTGGTTAGTAACTGCTTATCAGATTAAGTATACTTTTTTCTCCCTCCACTTCGTGAAACCTAAATTAGATCTACCTTCAAGACATGTTGGTATACTGCGTATTTACAAACTTAAGCAGTTTGTGGGACATTTTTGCTTTGTCACTAATAGGGATGGTATTATTTTCTAACAAATGAAAGGAACACTGTTACTAAAGAAAAGAACAGCAGTCAGAAGTAAGAGCATGAATGAGAACATTGAAAGTAATCTAAGCACAGGTGTTTTTCTGTGGTGGTGGTGGTTAAAAAAAATCTTAAATCATTTGGAAGAAACAGAATCTTTTGTGTTTCAGAATAAGTGGATTTGTTACAGATTCATTTCCTAAGGAGAGGAATTGGTTGGTGACTAAACATACAACAGAATGATATAGTAGTAACTGGTGGAAAAATGTGTAACAGCATAAATAAAGTATAGAGAAGGAAACTCTAATAATAAAAATGCATGTTTCCTTTATGGATTTTTTTAACTTTGACTCTTCAGTTGAATTAATTTCAGAAAACACAGTACACTTGTAAATCTTCTAATAAGTAACCATCAACAAGAGAAAATAAATTTTTTCACTTTCATGTGTATGCATGCATATTGAGCAGGAAATACTGAAAACAAACCAAATACATTATCCTCTGTGATGGAGAAGAGCAGTTATATTTCATCCAAGACTAACATTCTCTCAAGTTATTTAATGTTGTCTTCTCCCAGTCTTAATTCCCAACCTCTTTGTGATACATTGCAATTTTTTGCTACTTTTTTTTTTTTAATTTTGATGAATTTTGCTAATTCTTGTATCTACCTGTAAAATATAATGGCAATAATGAGTTTTCTCATCCCTAATTTATTTATTCTCATTCCCAAATTTATCACATACTGATTTTGAGTGTGTTCTACATGGATTAGTAGTTGTTCAGACTTATGCTGTTCTGCCTCTGTACTTCAGTGTATGCCTTGATGCATGCCTGTGTATTAAAGGGGCAAAATCCTAAGGTTGTACTTTCCCTGACACCTAGCAGAAGAAAGAGAATTAGTCACTACTTGCTGTGGATGCTGCTGAACAACACAGTAGCTATGCTGCCACTAGCAAGGGAAATTCGTGTTTTTAGGCAGGTTTGTGGTAAGGTTTTTGGCAGACTTTTCTTGTAGGTAAAAACCAATGACAATAAATTGTAGAAGCAGGAAGAGGTTATTTTGACTGAGCTCATTCATGATTTGCTTTTCCTGCTTTTTATATTTTAAAATGGGGGTGGGGGGATCACATTAATTTATTTTAGGCATACTTGGTGAAATCCATTCTGCCCACATCATAGCTCAACTCTTCCATTTTTGTCAGACAAAGAACAAAACAGTAATGTATGCAAAATTTGCCCTTCCAATGTTTATGGCTGCTATGAAAAAGAAAACTAGAATATGTTTATGCCCTGGCACTGGATACCATGGGGGCCTCTGGAATCCTTTGGCCTATCTCCACTATACAATTCTGCTGACAGTGATTCTCATTTCTGAGTCTTATGATATGCAGAAGTGCCCCCATTCATTGACACTGTTTATACTTGTCTACATAGTTACCAATTTTTATTGTTTTTCCAAAGACAGCCTAAAGGCATTGAGTTAACATAGAGGATTTATAAAAGAATTGTTGCAGACTAAAAGATCTTAATTTGCAGGTAGTTCCATAAGCAAAAGAATCCAAAGACATGACTTCTATTGACTGGAGTATCACCTTTCCTGCGTACATTGTCTTCATCAAATGGTAACAGATTTTCCCTGAGTGGGGGGGAATTATTTTAATTATATTTATGGATAATTGATAGTTTATTTAAATTGTCAATTTGTGAAATTGGCAAAAAGCTAATATTTTGGGAAACAATGGGGACAGTGAGCAAAATTGGGAGACAGCACACTCATTTTAGGAAATGTTAAAAGTTACAGTAGGAAAAGTATAGGGATGTTTAAAACATGATCACACAAGCTAGATCCAGAAGTTTTGCTTTAAGGAGTTATTGCTCCAGCTGTTGCTGGTCCTTGGTTGAAATTTAACTGCTGAAGGTGGTTTGAAAAACCCAGCAGACTTTGTATTGAAGTGGAAACATCAAAGTTATCGCAAGTAACATCTCTGACATATAGACAGTAACCTCCAAGCAAGTTAAGGGTGACTTTAGCTTAAATCACTACAGCTTCTGCATTATTGCATGATTATATCTGTAATTTTTGACTGGCTTCATCAGTTATTTCTGAAATAAAACCAGATTATTTCCTTTGGGATCCACCCTCAGTCAGTAGTCATGGGAGCATTTCCACATTATTTCTTTTGAAAACCTAGTAAGTCCAGAGTGTTAAGTATTTTAAACATGTTGCAAACCTAGCTATCCCATCCATTTATCATGCATACAGTAGATCAAAATTCATATACAATTCCCAATTTAAAAATGTAAGGAACTGTCAGTTTTCTATGTATTTCCTGCTCATTCAGGTAAGTACACTGTATCTCTCTGAATCATTCCCTGTTATTTTTCTTATTTTCCTTTTGAAAATTGTGGTCTTTCTTCATGTTTAGTTTTATTTCTCATCTGATAACTGTTTACCTTGCTGAAACCAACATGTAATGGTCTTATTTCAGTTTTCACATGAAGTTTATTGAGGTTAAATTGTCAAAAAAATGACAATATTGCAGAGTTTTGGATATTACTGGACCCTACCTTACATAGTCTGGTAATGGAAGAAACGTATCTTACACCAAATAACAAAACAAGAGTTAATTTTTTTTCATAAAAAATCTTTATTAGCTGTTTTTAAAGCTTGTACCTTGCTTAGTGGAGAATTTTTTAGGCAGTGTAATACAAAATAGTAAGTATATCTAAACAGTATCATCGTTTGGTTTGATAAACTGGAATTTATCTATTTATTAATTTATTTGATCCAGGGAAATTACCGCTTCATGAAGCTTTTACTGGCTCGTAGAGGGAACTGGATGCAGAAGGATTTAGAGGATATGACACCATTACATTTAACTACACGTCATAAAAGCCCAAAATGTTTAGCTTTGTTGCTAAAGCATATGGCACCTGGAGAAGTGGATACCCAGGACAGAAACAAGGTAAAAACAATGCTTATTTTAAGACAAGATTCGTAACAACTTCAGAAATTGGTGCTACATCAAACAGTTGTGTGTGATTTTTTTTTTTTGTCATAACAAACTTTTTCTGAGTCTTCAAAATAGTGGCCAGTGCTGATGTTATAATGATCGCATCTCTCACTCCTGTTCCTCAATGGAAGAAAGATGAAAGGTGGAGAAAATAGGTTCAGAAAGCTCATGGGCTGAGATAATGGGTTGGGATAAAGACAGGAAGATTACTTGTTACTGTCATGGGCTAAACTGACTCAGCTTAAACAAAGTAAGTTTTATCTGATGCCAATTAAAAGTTTTGCATATTGAGAAACAGAGACAAAATTTAGAACAACACCTTCAAACCACCACTACCCCTTTTTTCCTGGCTCAATTTTAGTCCTCCACTTCCATCCTCAAGGACAGTCCAAAAGTAAAAATATCTACCCTTAGACTAAACCTCTCAGGGTGACTGTCTTTTTTTCTGTATCTCTGTAATTAAAAAGGGACAATTTTTAGATACCCCTAGTCATACATGACTTTTTTGCCTGGGATAGAATGTGATGCCATTTACCAGTAAGATTTTCTAAGAGGGTCAATAAAAAGTACCAAATTGTTACTGTTATTACTGTATTAAAATGGACCTATTGGCAGCAGAAGGTCTGCTCTCAATGCATAGGCACTCTTGCTTCCATGAGTGTATCATTTAGTGAGAGGGATGTGATGATGAAGGTGATCTGGCATGAGACATTCATTTGAAGCAGACCACCTGTTAGCCACTTTGACATTTATTTTGTGAAACTGCAGACTTCCTTAGGAAAAAATGTAATCTTAATATCTGCAGAGCTTTACATTACTACCTTCTTAGAGTGAAGTCCTTCAGACTAATTTTCTGTATCTGTATTGACAACAGTTGATTGAAAGGCCAGGAAATCTCCAGGTGACTTTCCAGGTGTATCATATAATACATATCTTGTCATGACTTGTCTCATGTCCCTTTGCAAAGTGAAGTCATGCTCTACCACATCAATAAAATAACCAGGCTGCTTCAGATGTTTGTTAAAAAGGACTAGCATTAAAATGACCATCCGGAAGAGATGACAGATCTTAGAAGGAAAGTGATACAGTTCTGAAAAGAACTGATTTACTGTTACTTTTTATACAGAGAGGTACTGCCAGTCCACATTAATAGCACACTAACCCATTTTAAAAGAGGGAAGTTATTTAGCGTATAGTAATTGTATTCTTTTTTAGGTGCTCAAATTAGGGTAGTTCTTAAGTTTGAGTGCTTAGGAATGCTTGCTTTAAAACTGATACAAAGTGGTTGCCTCCGTTAACTTTATTAGTAGAGTATGAAGTGAAACAGGATTTTCAGGCAGTCCAGACTGACATTCTAGGTAAAGCATTTCTTGTGTTTCCACATCTGTTTTGAACTAAACAGATTCATCCCTCTTGATGGCGTGCTTGATGTGTATCCTGTTTGGGAGATGATCACATTGCCTTTAGTAGACGCATCTTTAGTAATTACTGCAGACCTGTTAATCTGGAAATATCTGGTTTAAATTTTGTCTGTTTGAGCAGTTTTTTGTATTATGAAATCTGAAAGAGGTTTTTTTTCAAAGATCCCAGAGATACGAGTGTTCTCTAAGCCAATTTTTTCTGCAAGGATATGGTAACAAAATGTGGGACACTGAATGTGGATAGCAAAAGGAAAACCAACAGTAATTATGTAACTACCACTGGCAAAGTAGGCATGGTGTAGAGTAGAACTTGGAACTGTTACTGTTGCTGGAGGCTTTTTAGGGGTTGAGCAGGTAGGTCTGTTTCTTGAAGTTTGTAAGCGATCTTGGAAGCTGGTGAGAAAATTCTCCCCACCAGCCTCTAATCTGTAACTGATTCAAATAGGAGTGTCCTGATGAAGTGTATTTGGAACCGCTGATAACCAGTGTACCAGCTTGGCAAGGCTGGTGTTGGGTTTCCATTCTACCACAAGAGGTCATAGTAAGAGAAGGAGACTGGACTTCCTAGTGATGTAACTGCTTAAACTCTGAAATCCTTATCTGATTTTATCATCTAGGAAGCAGGATAAGACAGCTGCAAGCCCAGTTCCCAACAAATGAATCTTCTGTCCTCTCTGGACAATGGAGTTGAACCAGCCTGTGGCCTAGCACTCAGCTGTTTGCCTTCCAGGATATTCTAACATGTATCATGGAAACCCTGGCTATAATTACAACAGTCATTCTGGAGAGGTCATGCTGACTTCCTGACCATGTTAATTAATTGACAAAGGTAAATGGAAACCAGCCAAAACCTTTTAGGAACCTTGCCTGTTGTTTAGCAGATTTCCAAGGCAGTATTAAGGCATTGCCAGATTTCCCACAAAATGCAGAGCACTTTTATTCCATTTTGTGTCATGAGTAGTCACAGTAGCAAAGATGGAATTCAGGTTGATTAAAGGCGGTCTCAGGGACAGTGTCCAACAAGTTTGACCCTGTTAGGCACAGTTTTTTAGTTTCCCTTACTGCAACTTGCACATCAGGATTGTCAAATGTAATTCCTGAATGTGAGGAAAGTCTTTCACTTCCATGTAGGCAACTGGCTGAAAAGCAGATGTAGGTGAAAGAAGCCAGTAAACCAAGGCTACATTGGCCTCCCAGTAATCAATTTTTGTTTTCACTGCAACTGTCAGTTTCTAGGAATACTGATTAGCTCTGCTTAAGAAATAGTATTTGTTAACTTACTGTAAATTTCTACTGCTAGAAGTTTTTTTTCAGTTCAAATCCTGACAGGCTGTGATGGTTTGAACATGCTTTATGGTGCTATGCTGTATGTTGCTGTATGTGGTGTCAGCTGTCAGACCTTTCCTTGAAGCCCCTGCAGTTATGTCTTAGAATGAGCTCTTTTTTCAGAAAACTACCAAGTAGACAAAAAGGTTGTGCTATCATATTATCTCACCATGGTACTAAACTAACATCTTAAAGCAACAAGCACAAAAAATGGGCTCCTTTTTGCCTTCTTCTTTTATGGAGATGTAAGGGATACCATAGTGAACTCATATGTTCTATCTCACTGTTCAAGGATGTTAATCCAGGGTATTGTAAGTTTATACACAGATGTCCTGCAGCAGTTATTTTCTGTTTTCAAATCAAAATAATTCGTAGGGGTTAGGGGAGAAGAGAGGTGGGAAATAAAATTCATTCTGTATCTTACAACGCCCTGTTACTTGGCAGTTGGGATAGATGTGCCTGATAAATGAAATGCTTGTTAACATACCAACATTTTGCTGTTTAAAAGAACCCCACAGATTGGTTTATTCATGTAATTATGAACATTGATAATGCCCATAAAAAGTCACTGGTAGTCAGGAATTGAAGAGAGACCTACAAAGGGTTAACCTCAGAAAGAGACAGTTCAGGGGTGATCTTACCAATGTGCATAATGGGAGGCAGTAAAGAAGATGGAGCCAGACTCTTCTGATTGGTCTCCAGTGAAATACCAGAGGGCACAGTTTAAAATAGAATAAATTCTGTTTAAACCTGAGAAATTATTTTTTTTTTACTGTGAGGGAGGTCAAACACTTCATCGAGGTTATGCAGAGGGGTTGTGGAGTCTCTACTGTAAAGATAACTAGAAGTCTGACTGGACATTATCCCGATCACCTGTTCTAATTGACCCTGCTTTGAGCAGAGGAGTTGGACTAGGTGATCTTCTCCTTCATTCTGTAAAAATATTATTAAATCATGTTTCAGGTTCTAACCAACTTTCATCTTATACTCATTTTTCACCATGTTTTTAAAACTTGTGAATATTGTGTTCCAGCAAACTGCACTTCATTGGAGTGCCTACTACAATAACCCAGAGCATGTGAAACTTCTCATAAAACATGATTCAAATATTGGAATCCCTGATATTGAAGGAAAAATCCCACTTCACTGGGCAGCGAACAACAAGGACCCTAGTGCAGTTCACACAGTGAAGTGTATTCTGGTAAGAAAGCCTATTATATATGTAACACTTTCTGTATTGATTACTTTACTCTGATAGAAGTCTATTTTTTTTCTCTTGAAGTTTCTTATTTTAGTCCACTGACTCCTTGAGAATAAAATCATTTGCTTTCCCTAATATCCAGAATTTTCTAAGAAATCGTCTTAAATATTCTCGCTGTCTTGAGAGGGTTTTTTTCTGAGTTCTGTGGGTGAATATCTTTGCTCTAACTTATGGACTATATACATACTCAATTAGTTTGATGTAACAGTTCATTTTGGGGATAAGGAATGGAGGAATGGGTTGCATGTTCTAGTTAAAATGGCCCGTTGTATTACTCATCTTGGTTGCATCTTGCACACTGATTCCTTTCTTGTGTGTCTTCTCTTCATCATTTGAAAGTTTATTTCTAGTTAACTGTACTGAAAAGTCTTATTTGGTCCTTCAAATCAGAATTCTGGGAAGTATTTGCTCAATTACCAGACTGCCTATGATCAGTTTATTGAGAAACTTTCCAAATATTTTTGTGTACAGATTTAATATTCTTTTCTTGATGGCATATTTTCTCTTTCGTCAGTATTTCAGTTTCATTTTATACACTGACAGTTATAATGAAATCATGTGCTCAGCTTGATCTTTATGTTGATTTTTATTCTGTGGAAATCTGTGAACTTCATTAACATAGAAAGATGCAGAAGTTTCAATTGAATTTTTCTGTCATGTTGCAACAATCTCTCTATATCTTTGTCTTTCAAAGGTATTTCAGAACTAGGCAGATATTAATTGTAAGCCAACTACAATGACTTACACGTTACTGATTTTTTCTGTATGAAAATAGTTTTAAAGAAGTTTCCGGTGTTAGTGTTTTGAGGGTTTTTTTTACTACTTTTGTTTATTCAAGATACTTGCAATTTGGACTGAGTTGTGAAATAATTTGTCACAAACAAAATTTTGTCGCAAAGTTTCAGGTTGTATATACCATGTACTTTTCTGCCACTCTAGAGAAATAAATCTGCTGAAAAGTAGGTAAGGATTGCAGTATTCAAATACAGACTTTTGCAAATTTTACATAGTCAAGCTAAATGGTTTTAAAAGTTGTGGTTGGTTGGCCCCAGCCAACTTCTGCACAGCCACTTGCTCACTTCCTTCTTGCAACACTGGAATAAAATGGAAGGCAAGAAGACTTGTGAATGAAGATAATGGCAGTTTAGTTTGCAAAGTAAAAGCTGTGTGCAAGAAAGGGAATTTATTCACTATTTTCCATCAGCAGACAGATGTTAGCCACTCACAGGAGAGCAGATAAAGAGCTTCAGCATTCTTAATTGTTGTTTGGGAAGACAAATGGTGTAGCCATGAGCATCCCCCAGAGATTTTTTCTTATGAAAAACGATGTTTGATGTTATTCTTATGATGTTATATGGTACGGAATATTGCTTGGGTCAGTTTTGATCATCTGTCCTAGCTGTGTCCCCTCCCAGTCTCTCACCCATTCCCAGCCTACTTGCTGGTAGGAGCAGGGGAGGAGGACAGGGCAGGGCATGAAAAAGAGAAATCCTTGATGCTGTGCAAGCTCTATTCAGTAACAGCCAAAATAAATGGATGTCTTATCAACAATTGTAATCGCAAATACAAAGCCCAGCACCATACCTGCTGCTGCAAGGAAAATTAACTCCATCTCAGCCATGTACTAAGATGGTCAAAAATACGTGTCTCCTTACTGAAAGTGTTCCTGAAGATTCTGTTTGAGCAGCACAGGATCATGATCATGTCCATTTTTTTTTGTTTTGATGATTTTTTTTTAATCTGATAGTTAAAAGAATGTATTCTGTATTCCATCTAGGTTTTTCATGCATCAATGAAATTTATATATTCCAAATTATATTTCAGATAGTTATACCTATATATGCTTATTGATGGAGTGGGATAATAGCAAGTTTAAATGAAAAAGCAATTAGCTTACATAATATGCTGTAAAAGACCATAGAATCATAGAACAGTTAGGGCTGGAAAGGACCTTAAGATCATCAGTTTCCAAGCCCCCTGCCATGGGCAGGGACACCTCACACTAAACCATATCACCCAAGGCCTCATCCAGCCTGGTCTTGAACACTGCCAGGGATGGAGCATTCACAACCTCCCCGGGCAACCTATTCCAGTGCCTCACCACCCTAACAGGAAAGAATTTCCTCCTTATATCCAATCTAAACTTCCCCTGTTTAAGTGTTAACCCATTACTCCTTGTCCTGTCACTACAGTCCATAGTGAAGAGTCCCTCCCCAGCATCCCTATAGGCCCCCTTCAGATACTGGAAGGCTGCTATGAGGTCTCCACGCAGCCTTCTCTTTTCCAGGCTGAACAGCCCCAACTTTCTCAGCCTATCTTCATACGGGAGGTGCTCCAGTCCCCTGATCGTCCTCGTGGCCCTCCTCTGGACTTGTTCCAACAGTTCCATGTCCTTTTTATGTTGAGGACACCAGAACTGCACACAATACTCCAAGTGACATCTCACAAGAGCAGAGTAGATGGGCAGGATCACCTCCTTTGACCAGCTGGTCACCCTCCTTTTGATGCAGCCCAGGATACGGTTGGCTTTCTGGGCTGATACAGTTGGCTTTCTGGGCTGAAACGATGATATAGAAACATTATCAATCTGTTGTTGAGTATAAATATACCTTGTGGTGGTGGTGATGATGCCTCTGAGTTTAATCCTTCAGTAAGATCTTGTCTTCTGTCCAAACCAAAGTTTTTTTCTTACTTGTCTTGATAGATGTCTACCTAGCAGAGTTCACAATCTTCCCCTCCTTTCTTAGCTACTTTTTTTTTCTGTATTACCCAGTTCCAGGTCTGTTGTCCAAGTATCATCTTTTATTTTCATTCCTCTTTAGGTCTTCACATCCAGGTTAACTTTATAGTTTTTCACATCCTTTCTGTATGATATTTCTAATGTACATACCCATACAGTTAAGATTTCGGTCATTTTGTGTCTTAACAAACATAACTGCATTTCTAAGTTCATGAGAGTATTGTCCTGTAGTGATAGCAGTGCCTTTGCCTACAACTCTGTGTTGCTGTTGTCTCTCCATTTTTTTAATCACTTCCAACACAAACCATTTGTCTTTGCTTTCATGATAAAGTGCTATAATCAGTAAGCTATGTGCTGTTGCTCAGATAGCAGTCAGATATGGATAATCTACCTCAGGTCAATCTGCACTAGCAATCTCTTGTTGCCTGCTAAGTTACAAAAAACAACACTGCTGTTGTTTCTCTCATGTTATGTTTAAAACCCTGGAAGAGTTGCCCACAAAATTATTTTTCTCTAGCGTCCTACTGAGAATTCTCTGGTTCTGCTTTACAAAAACTTGACAGAAGTTAAGCTGCTGGTTTTATTAAGACCACAGGCTATGATACTGAAAAATACTCCTGTTTTTCCATGCTTTGCCATCTGGATGTGTCCATTTGTTGTCTCCTGTTTGTAAATTCGTAAAATTAAGGGTAGTCTTTCTGTTTGATGTTTGTTAGCCCATTGGAATTGTCAAAATAATAATGAAAAGAGCTCAGCTGAATGTTGAACAAATAGGTTGGGTTTGCAGAGGTGACAGTCACACACAAATTTATTGTATCTAATATTGAAAACTATGAAATACAGCAAAAATGGAACTCATGACATATTTGGAGAGTAAACATGTGAAGTAGAGGGAAACTCTAATCTGGAGAACCTCTCATGGTCAACTTCCTTTTCCACCTTTCCAGATTCAGCAATGCTTGGTTACATGAAAACGTTGGGAAGATGTAAGGAGAAAAGAACAGAATAAGGTTCCATTAATATGATGGAAGCAACTGCTTAGTATTCTCTGTCTATTTTGTATCTCTTCTCTTTATTTATTCTTCATGGTAAGAGACATGACATTTATTTATACAACACTTTCCATATTGCCTACAATTCCATTGTTCTAGTTACCACAGAAAAAATGTGTAGATTCTTCTGTGTATTGTGCTTAAAATATTAATATAGTATGACAGTTCAGTTATAGCTAGTTAGACACCAAAACCACTTAAAATCTGAAGGAATTATGCTCTTTTAATAGGCAGAAGAAGGTTTGGAAAATTTTAGTTAAAGTGGCCAAAATTTCAGAACACGTGTATACTTTTACACTAGAATATAAGTAGTAGCTTTGTCATTAAAAAATTCTTTATCATTTAGCAATAATAACACTTTTTGGTTATGAAGAGATGTTCTGGGCAACATCAGTGTCTTTGAGATAGGAGTTTTAGCAATCATGTGTTTAATACGTTGTTGTGCTTTTAATAAAATTACCTGTCCAGATTACATCAGTAAATTGCAAGTGAAGTGAAGAAGTGTTTATTTCCTTGTTTGTGCATTTTTTTCAAATAGGTTTTCCAGTGGTTGAGTTGAAATTTCAGTAATAACTTCTGTGCATATCATCATTCATTTTTAGTCATTCTGAAAAAGTGATTCTCATAAAGATCCCTTCCAAATTTGTGTAGTCGACTCTTTACTCCCCCTGCTGAGCTCTTTGGAGACATGGAGTAAGCAGACTGTCAGCTTTCTCTTGAGAATTATTAAAGCTAGGGAAGACAAAACTTTTCACTGTAATGGCTCAGATAAATGCTTTTGAATGCTTATTCAAAGTGTTTTTCATGCTTTGGTTATTGTGGTTTGTGCATGTAACAATGTTAACTTTGCAGTTGTAATCAAAAGATTCATATTTATTGTTTTTTTCTGGTTTTAATAGATTATCTGTTGTACTACTGGCTAGATAGATGTAGTAATGACCTACAGTATGTTTTAAGTATATTAATTTTTTCTCCAGCAAAATATAGTTAGCTACTAAAATCTAAAGTTGATGCATTTTTTTTATATGTGAGGCTAGTATTTGCATACAGTGTGCAAAGTATGTGAGTGTTTTAACTTTAGAAAGCTTACATTAATCAAATATTAGAGGTTTAAGTTGACACTGTTAGAAAGACAATAAGAAACAATGATTCGGGGTATTGCAGATTGAAGTTACTACTGCAGTATTAATTTAGCCATGTTGTACTTAGGAAATACTGTTAAATGTATTTATGTTTTTATCTATGAAATTGAACATACAGAATGTACAACCCTAGTCAATTAATATTTATATAGAAATCATAACTCTGTAATTTCCTGGTTTTCTGCTTCTTCATTTATCATTCTCAATGTTAGATGTTTATTTTCTATGTAATAGTTACTGCATTTAAAATCATGCAAATACAGGTGATTTTATGGCCTATATATGTACCTAGTAAAAGTCAAAATTGCACTAAGTTTAGTGAGAAAGGGATCAGGAACTTGCTTTAACTGTTAACAAGTTGCACTGATTACAATCTCTGTCTTCTTTCTTAAGTATATTTTAAGATGCAGTGTGGCTCTGTATTTTCAGGAGGTTTCTTGTCAGTTTTCATGAGTTGAAATCCACTCTAGTGTTAGAAGTTAAGTATCTCAGGACTACATTCCTTTTTTCTTTTGCACAGGGTTCCTGCAACAAAATTGCTGGAGATACACTCCCTATAGTTTATTTAAGCTCCTGTTTTGACATTCTGCTTCTGCTCTAGATGTTTGGTGTCCTGCATTCTGAGTTTCTATTGTTTTATTGTTTACCGTATTCTTTAGATGCATCTCTTTTTTCAGGAAAATGAAATTTAAAGTTTGTATTTCATGGCTTTTTATGCCTTTATGATATTTGCCATTTGGAGATCTCTGCAATGCTAAGATGATATTCTTTTACTTATATGTGTTCTTTTGCCAGAGAAAGAAAGACATGAAGAGAAACTTGTCTAGAAAAAAGTTGATGAGACAGGAAATTATAATAATATGAAACTATATAGCTAGGAGCCTATGTGAAAGTAATTTAGTTTTTTAAGAAAATGTGATTAAATGTCACGTTATATCTGTTAATGATTATGTTATGTGATCAAATGACTAATCACAATGCTTTAAAAGATTTTTATTTCAAAATTAAGCCCATTACAAGTAGATGCATTCATTAGAAGTGCTCCCTAACTTACTTCTGTCAGCTAGAGGCGTTGACAAGTCCTTTAGAAATTCTGATAGCTACATGGCTTTAAAATGCTAGAAAAGTATTATGATGAAATCCATAAGATGAATGTGTCCAAAAAGGGGAGTACCCTAGGAGAAAAAATATGAAGATATATGTGTTGTGTTCAACTTAGAAAATCAGTTAAGAAGATCTAATTATTTCCACAAGAGTCTGAATTAATCTTTTAAAGATCTGTGCAAGGAGCCACTTGCACAACAGTGATAGAACTACAGGGTATGTCCTGAAAATTAGGTCTGTACAGTAATGAAGTATAAAACAAATTTCATAAGAAATACTTGAAAATAACCTGTACTGTGACAAAAGTCTTTGGTTCTAGAGCTATATTGTACCAAACAAGGACAGTTTATCTCTTTATTATAAGACACATGATCAAAAAAACCCTGTAAAGAGTATATAGCTTTTTCTTCAACTTAATTATTTTATTTTTTTTTTAAAGGAAGCTGCACCTACAGAATCTCTGCTTAACTGGCAAGATTATGAAGGACGAACTCCTCTTCATTTTGCTGTTGCTGATGGGAATGTAGCAGTTGTTGATGTCCTGACCTCTTACGAAGGCTGCAATGTGACATCTTATGACAACTTGTTTCGAACTCCCCTTCACTGGGCAGCCTTACTTGGTAAACTGGACAGTGCTAAAGTTACAGAATCACAGAATGGTTCTGGTTGGAAGGGACCTTAAAGATCATCTAGTTCTAAACCCTGCCGTGGTCAGGAACATGTTCCACTGGATCAGGTTGCTCAAAGCACCGTCCAACCTGGCCTTGAACACTGCCAGAGATAGGGCAGCCACAACTTCTCTGAGCAACCTGTGCCAGTGCCTCACCACCCTCACAGTGAAGAATTTCTTCCTTAATGTCTAATCTTAATCTACCCTTGTTCAGTTGAAAGTCATTCTCCCATGTCCTGTTACTACATGACCTTTTAAAAAGTCCCTCCCCAGCTTTCTTGTCAGCCTTCTTTAGGTACTGAAAGGCTGCTCTAAGGTCTCCCCTGGGCCTTCTCTTCTCCAGGCTGGAAAGCCCAACTCTTTCAACTTGTCCTCGTAGGAGAGCTGCTCCAGCCCTCTGACTATCTTCATGGCTCTCCTCTGGACTCAGTCTAGCAGTTCCATGTCCTTACGATGACTCCTGGTGGAGTCTCTTGAGTGTGGATTCACAGGGAAAGAATCACCTCCTTCAGCCTGCTGCCCACACTCCTTTTGATGCAGCCCAGCACACGGTTGGCTCTCTGGGCTGTGAATGTACACTACTGACTCGCATTGAGCTTGTCAACCAACACCCCCAAGTCGTTCTCCTCAGGGCTGCTCTCAATCCATTCTCCACCCAGCGGGTATTTGTATAATTTATAATTAATTGACTGTGGTGTTTAATCTTTCTGTCTTTTTTATTTAATTCCAGCCTGGCATTATGCTAGTAATCTCTTAGTACAATAATAGTTTCTGGTAGACCACAATTAGAAGTTTGTGTGTTGACTGGGGATTTTTTAGCTTCAGCTTCTCCAAAGCATTGTAAAGTACATTACTTCCATAGGCTATATACATGCTCATGATTTTCAGGCAGTTAGAGCATACTGAGATGTTCTTGCATATGCGTCTTTATTCTTAGTTAAAAAAACCAAAACAACTGGCACTTGAGAGCAGTGGTGTCTGAAATGGAGTATGCACATCCCAGTGTGTATGCAAGACAGTCCATTGGAGTGCCTAAAGAAAATATCAGAACTTCTGTTTATATTATTTTTATCTGAAAAATAAGAAAACTTTACAAATGTTTAATATATGGAGTGATACCAGCACACTCACTAGTGCATGTGTAAGATGGTCATAGGGTCTGTGAGGAGCCTGAGGGAAGCGAGTGCTTCATGATGTGGAGGTCTTGGTAGTGGCATCATCAGTCATTTGTTTGCTTTCAGCTTATTGTAATGTGTTACAGTTTATGTGTGTCCAGTTAAGTGGATTTATGTATTATATTATCTAGTTTTACCTAAAATACCCTTCACAAAATAGACAAGTGACTTAAAAAGGTTTCCAAAAAGAAACCACAAGTGAACAACACAAGTTGCCAGCACAAGCGAGCAACAAGAAAATGGCAGAGCTGGCGCTTCTACTCCTACTACAAGCTCTCTATCAGACACATTATGACAGTCTAATCAGATCTGACAGGAAGTTTTATTCAGATTAATTTTTTTTCTGCTCAGATAGCTATCCAGAGACTTAGAGGCTGTGTGAATTACATATGTGAATTTTGCGTGGTTGGGTTTTACAGATTACAAAACTGTGCGAAACAGGTAAAACCCTGATAAAATATAAATAACCTAAATACAGGGAAATGCAACTCAAAATGACAGGCTCAAAAATAAAATTATTTGGAAAATTGATGTCCTGATTTCCATTCTCCTGTGTGCAGGAGGAAAAAAAAATAACCACCATGTACCACCATGGATAAAAAGAAAGAATCTTCAAACATTTTCTTTTCTCTTTTAACAGGCTTCATCCCCATGACCCTTTGGGACTCTGTAGACAAAGAACGCCAATAAAAGAATCAAATTGCTCACTGGAGCGAGTTACTGTAACTCTGGTGACAACACACATGTAGTTTGATTATGTTTATCTAAAGGAAAAAAAAAAAGAGTGTGCTCAGATTTGCATTTGCATTCAAGGAGGGATATTGAATTTTTACAGAGAAATGGTGCAACATTTCAAGTGTCATAGGATCGTTCTTCCAAAGGAATAGTCATTATCACTTGGTTCAGTCCAAGAAGCAAAATTTATTGGTTTTTTTAAATTGATCATATTTAAGAGAGAAGTTTTGTCTGTTGGAAAAATGGATTGTCTGATCAATGTGGAATAACAGGGGAAGATGTGCCAAGACCTCTAGAGTCCTTTGTGAACTTGACGAGGTTTCTAGGTGGCAAAGCCCATGGGGAACTTCTGATCAGTAAATCATGATTAATTTTCAGGGTTCTGTTTTTAGGTTAGATACCGAGTGCTCTACCTAGACCTCAAAGTCTGTTCTTTTCTTTTTTTTGGTTTGTTTTTTTTGTTGTTGTTGTTTGTGGTTGTTGTTATGTTTTGTTTTTCTTTTAATAGGGAAGTGTTTAACTTCAGGATTCAGTACCTTTGTGGTTTTATTATATTATTTCAGGTCATGCGCAGATTGTCCATCTCTTATTAGAAAGAAATAAGTTTGGAACTATCCCATCTGATAGTCAAGGTGCAACACCCCTACATTATGCAGCACAGAGCAACTTTGCTGTAAGTATCACATACCCTAATGTGAAGTAAATACATTTCTCTGAAATACTTGCAAGGGAGCAAACTGTTTTGAGTTGTTTCCTATAAACACAGTGTTGTCTGCACAAGCTTAATTCAGAGATTTCCTATGTTATGTGATATAAATGTGGTTAATTTCAAACTATTAAAACCATATTTTAAAAACCTCAGTTGGTGTAGAAAGAAAGACCCTTTGGTCCTTCACTAGAACACACAAGAATCATTTAGGTACTTCAGTAGAAAGCAGAATGGCACCAACTATTTTACAGTGCTTTCACTTTTTAAGGCTCATTATAGCAAAATCTTCAAGTATCTAGAGTAAGATCACCTGTATGGGGAATTGCACAGCTGCTTCAGTACCAGTCAAACCAGTCTTGTCTTCAAAGTGATTAACTTATTAATATTTGCTATAATGAATGAGCCGTTGTCTCTCAAAGCAGAGTACCTGTTGTCACAGTTCTCCATGAACACTATATTTTGAAAAGGGTTTTTTTAAGTTTTTAATATTTTTAAGATATTTTAAAAGTCAGACAACAAAGGAAATTGGTTTCTCAGCCTAAATTATTATATTTTCCTAGAATTGCTTTTTTTTTTCCAAAGCAAGGTCAGCTATAGTAAAGCGAAGTATAAAACTCACCAGTTTAATGATTGCTGGTCATAGATGCTATTAAAGGAGTAGTTCTCAAGCACTGGAACTTTTTTCATGCTGCTCTGCCTCCTGTAGTTGAGTTATGCTATGCATAGTAAGCTGAGAACTTGCATCTAAGTTTTGTTATTCATAACCCTTTACAAAAAGGGTTGTTTAGTGCCTAATTAATGTAGCTATGGAGCACATATTTCAGCATTTTCTTAACTGAGATACCGATTTGGATCTTTCTTGCATACCCACGTGTTAATTTCCATAAAAAAGTAATATTTCGATGCTCTTGGAATCATTCAAGTTAACAAATCTAGATGTACTATAGAAAGAGAACACTGACCAGTGTATATTAATACCACAGCTGTCAACTTCTCTTTCCTTATGAGAGTGAGTTTTGGAGTTTTAATGGGGATTTTTCACAAGTTGTCTTAGAAAGATCAAACAAATATTTTTTAAATTGAGACTTTTATTGGAGCATATCTCTGTATATAATGTACACTTTTTTAGGGATTTTTTTAATTGATGCTGATTATTTTCCATTATGTGGTATGCACAGTTTGAGTCTGACTCACAGGCCTAAAATTCTGATTTTTAAAAGCCCTTCTTTCTAATTTGAGTCAGCCTCATGGGAAAGACATAATGTTTTTATTTAAAATCTGGTGATTATATCCACATGCTTTTAAATTATTTTTCTATATTGTCACATTCCTAAAAAATGACTTTTTATACTGGCTTGCTTTCTCTGGGCTTGATTCAGCTGTATGAAACATCTTTATTATGTTGCTGCCTTTTAATCCTACCAGCCAACCAAACTACGGTATCATTTAGGATTTTGTGGGGAAATAGAGTAGGTGATGGAATCAGACATTCTTTATAATCTTGTGAACTTACAATGAATGTAGTGTTTCCCATCTTACATGAAGAATCAGGCAGGAGAATCTCATTCGCATCTGCAAGCTTTTTTTAGCTGGTGATGTATCCAAAAGCCCCTGCTTATGCGTGCTCAAATTATGTCCGAAGCTGCTCTCTTTTCTTACTACTCTGATTGTTTCTGAGCATCACTATTTGCTTTTTTTTCTCAGTTATATACAAATCCTTGAGTAATTCCCACCACTGCATTCCATGTACATAGTCAAACAACAGAGTGGAGAAACATCCATGTTTGTTTTGGCAGCTGCATTTATATATTTATTGTTTGAGAATCAAGTTGTTCTCTTCAGTCTGCCCAAGTTTGCATAGGCAGTTTCTCAGTTAAGATGTGATGTTTCTTAGTCCCTAACAAGAAAAAGAAAGTTTTTTGTGTTTATTATAAATATTTGCTTTGCTTTCAGTTTTTCCTTAACTCAATACCTTGTTCTTTGCTCTGTTTTTTCTGTGGTTTACTTACTCTAATTATGACATTTTAGGTATTTAAAGAATGATGAGACTTAGCCAGCACTTGATTTATGTGAGGAGCTTGTTCGCTAAGACTAACTTATCCCAAGTTATTACCTAAGGAAAAGTATTTTTCAGAGCTTCTTAATAGCACAGAATGAAATGATCCATGTTTACTTCTTTAATGTTGTTTTTCAGCTTTATTGTTTTTGTTTTTTCCAGTTGTTTAATAGAAATAAAATACATGTATTTTTCATGGCAGAATGCATGTAGAATTAAACTGATTAATACTTCTCTTTTTCTATTTCTTAACCATCCTGTTCTAATTTATTTTCATTTTGTTTTCAAATTGTGCTAACTTTATTTTTAAAAAAGAACTCACCACGGGATTTTCTTCCACTTTATCCCATAAAAAACTCTAGAAAGAAGGCGTGATTGAAAGAAATCTTGCTAAATCTTAGGGGAAAAATAAAATTACTTATTTATGTTTTTAGGATGTGTACCTTAGTATTGAAAAGGTCCACTCTTCATGCATCTTTTCACTTGCAGCATTTCAAGCAGTGCAGAGTACTGGTAGGGTGCTGAGTTGCTGGCCTAATGAGTAGCCGTTTTTGTCTGAGGGATAGTGATGGTCACTGTGAGTACACAAAGCTATATACACATGCTGGTTTGTTTGGAAGGCTTAGTGCTTCCATTCCTCATTGTTTCTGGCTGGACCTTTTTACAGTAAATGGGTAGTTAAGACGAGACTATTAGATAATTCAGACTGTAGACCCAAATTCATGAAGCTGTTAGTATCTTAGATCACATTTAAGTTAAGGGACAAATCTCCTGTTTCTTTCGAGGGATGAAATAAAAAATAGTAGATAAAATAAAAATCCAAACTAATCAGTAGGACTTGGACATTTAAATACCATTGTGATTATAAGGATTTGATTCCTTAGAGTCAAGGAGTTCTCATCCTATTCAGAGCAGTGACAGAGCTATTTTTGGGTCACACAAGGAAAAGGATAAAATAATGTTTATACTCAAACAGAAAAATAAAGCAATGAAACCCACTTTTTTTTAGCTTTTGTTGGCAAGCCTATCAGTGGCTCTTAAGAGATGTTTACCAGCTGTTAACTACACAGCCTTTGTAAGGCATTAGACAGCAAAGGGAAAATCTTCCCCTAGTTCTTTTTCTATCAGTTATGATTTTCTCTCCCTTCCCTTTCTGTGTGGCTTAGTAAGAATTTAACAGCAGGTTAAACAAGTGGACTAAGAGCTTAATCCAAACACAGCATTTGAAGAAATAATTATTTTGCCTTGATTTAAATTTTAGATATTTTAGTGTAACAGTTATAGTGGAAAACCTGGACTCTGATGTAAAGGTTTTCTTTAAAAGAGAATATTTTAAAATTATTTTGATATTTCAGCAATTTGTAATCTGTTGATATTATTAAATATTAGGAAATATAGCTCTGTTGCTTCCAAAGTACATTATTATTATTATTATTGTTATAGTTATTATTATTATTATTATTTAGTTTAGCAAACCAAAATATTTGTGTATGCAGTCATATTTAGAACTGGAGCAAAAGAATGTGTCAGGAGAATCATTATTTTAGCATCATAGTATTAGAGTAATGCTTTGATAAGCTGATAATATTTTTCCCATTACTTTCCTCGCAGCAACTGCAGTGTCTTTTACTTCCTTATGATGAACACATGATATCTGACAATAAAGAGAAAAAAGTATGAAATAAAGTCATAGTTAAGCATGCATTATATCACTGATGAGGAAAACAATATAGCAGACAATACAGTGCTCCTGTTGAGCTATTATTTTGTATAAGCATAAAAAGGAAAAATGAAGCTTTGATTTGCTTCGTCAACAGCTAAATGAGAACAATAATTTCTTGTTGTTACACATTCCTTTTAATGTTAATTTTAATAGTATGTCTTTTCAGGAAACAGTTGAAGTATTTTTGAAACATCCTTCTGTAAAAGATGACTCAGATCTTGAGGGAAGAACATCCTTCATGTGGGCAGCTGGCAAAGGCAGTGATGATGTCATTAGGACTATGCTGACTTTAAAATTGGATATTGATATCAATATGACAGACAAATATGCTGGCACAGGTAAGATGTTTTACAGAAACAGGATGTTTTAGGTTAATGTGATTTCCACCAAATAACCATTGTTAGAAACAATATTAATCTCTTCTGGATCTCTACCCTCATCCTAAAAATATTTCTGCATTAGTTTCATTATGTGTGTAAGTCACTTCTTTGCTTTTTGGTGTGAAAGAAATAAACCAGTTAATTTGAAACATAGCAAGGGAAAGGTACCTGTGCTGCTATTTAGTTAGACCTGTAATCCTTGGAAAGGAAGAGCTGTCTGGTATTTTGGGGAATAAAATTAAATATTATTGTATAAAAAGCCCTTCCTGAAAATGCCTGTTAAAAAATGTATTTGTAAATAAATAAATACTTTGAAACAATATAGAGCAAACTAACTAGTGAAGTGACTAAATTACTGTAACGAGAATCATAAGTACCATAGTTATTTATAAAGGTAGTGTCATTATATTAGATTAGAGCTATTGCACTTCTGTTGTGCAGATAAGATTAAACTTGATATCTCCCAAATTTATCATCCCATTACCTGCTCTAAGGAAAAGATAGGTATGCAGCTCAGTGCTTCAGAATTCAAGGTCATGAAACTCACAACTGCCTGTAGCAACTATGAATTTATCTTCTTTAATTTATTAAAGTTATAAGAATTTCTGGTAGAAATATTGTACCTATGTAATACTTTCAAGAAAAATAGAGTGACGATTCTGACAGAGACAAGTATTGAAGAGTGTCCAACAGTGCTGGAAATACAGGTAAAAGTAGGGGAGCTGTATAATGTGCTGATGATATCTGAATAAAAAACACAAGAATGTGGATATACTAGGCATAAATTGGAGGGGTTAGGTAGCAGGGGGATGCAAGGGTAAACTCTGAGGTTATGAACCACCCTATGCCAGTCACATCTAGGTCACAAATTTAGTAGTTAACTGCAGAAACAAATACTTAGGTATAATAAGTAGTATGGTGATAGCCAAGCTGCTAGAGCACACACCCATGAATAATACAGTAGAGGGTATTTCTCCTGTGAAGAAAACTATGTTATTTTAAACAAACAAGAATGTATATTTCAGTGTTTGTTTATATAAATTTTACTACATCTGTTTTAAGTATACTGAGCATTATCTTTTGGCTGGACATGCACCCAAACTAGCCCAAGATGCATGCTTAGATTTAGGGAACTTGCAGCGTAGATCTACCCCAACCAAAAAACAAGGATACAAGTTTAACGACTTTTCTCTTTTCAGACCACACTTCAAATAACATATAAATGGTAAAGAAACACAATGTCAGGGTTGCATTGTTCAGGATTTGAAGGACAGTATGTATGAATATTACTTTTGTATGGTGAATCTTTACACCAAAAGCCAAGTACTCTTACCATAAAATTCTAACTATCTAAATTCTTGCTTTCATTACAAATTAACACAAAAAATACCAGTTTTTCCAAGTTATAATAGTTTGTAATTCTTGAGGTTAAAAAAGTGCAACAAATAAAATCTCAATCTTCATGTCTGATGGTTTTATAGACTACATACTCTTCAGTTCCAGTCTTGTTTTGTCTTTTATCAGTTCCCTTTTAAATACCTCACAGTACTGTTTTCAGAACTTAAGGTGCTGTAATGTTGTAGTCACGATGCAAAATCTCCTTGCAAAGGGTTTTCTTCTTTGCAGACAGTATTACATACTGTGTTTCTGAAATTACTCAGGTGTAGATTTCATGCTTGAATAATTCAGGTGGTTGGGTTTATTATCTTTCAGTCTTAAATCTTTCATAGCAGTGATGTGTAATCACCTTTTAATCTTGATTTTGTTGTAGGGCTTTTAATCCAAGGAAATGAATGGATTTTTCATTACTTGAAACTGCTCTCGTACAGAACACACAAATAGTCTTAAAGTGGGGACCTATGCTTTTCATCGCTTGCTGTCGAGCAGTCTGAACTTTATCATTGTGCAAGCATGTGCAGTAGCATGGGCTTTATTATAGTGAGGTGTAAAACTTGAAAGGAATCCCACCAGTAAATCACTCTCTGATTTCAGACCTGGGTTGTTTTTTGCATTTTTTTCCAAAGGTTCTTAGCCATTTCCAAGTTTTGGTGAGGGAAAAAGTATTGTATTCCAACGGGAAACTATGCATTAATAGAAAATAGCATAGATGCCACCCTGCCTGGGATACAGTTGCTGCGGAGAGTTCAAGGTTGTGTTTTTCTGACTTTTGTGTGCCAACTCAGCTAAGCTCAGTTATAATGTTGCGTTAACACAGCCTTTTGCATTTACTTAAAAAGAGCAAGCTCTCCATTCAGCTCTGCTAGAACATGGAGACTCTCTGTATTGTGTAGGAGAATGACACCAAGGGAAAGGAATTTCCTTCTTCTCGGAGATCAGCACTGCAGGAGCATTATAGGGGCAGCTTTATAGTTCTGCCGTCACTGCGTACAATGGAGAGGGCTGTGTCTGTCGGCTGAACAAAGGACCTATTGTGACCAGCTGGCCGAAGAATCTCTTCAGTCACCGTGACTCCATCACAGAAAATTTGGCTTACAAGAAAATATTGAGCACAAAGTGTAAAACAAGATGCCTGCGTCAGAATGAGTGATAGCGGGAAGAACCAGCCAAGCTGACACAGCAGCTCTTTTTCTATTGCATTGTTATACACACCCCATGTGTCATCTGATGGAGTGGTTTACTGCCTTTGGTTTCATAAAAAATGCAGTACAAAAAACAGAACCTAGAGTTTACTGTGAGGTCAGACCATGAAAACCAGGCACATCCAAATGTACGGCATGGCAGGGAATCTCATTCTTGTCAAATTTCTACTGATAGCCACCCACTTGCATCACTACTGCAGATCTTGCTGCTTACAGGTATTTTTCATTAGTGTGATAGTGCCCCTATGCTTTTTTTAGTTGGATAATATAACAGTTAAACGTCAGTGTCATCTTAAAGGCATGATCTCAATTATTAAGGCAGCACTTCTCCACATGTCTCTGGCTGCGACCCCAGTTCTTGTAGGAAGTACCTTATTTGTCTGGATCACAATTCCAGTTTACTATCACTAATTTTGAGAATGTGTTTTAAGGCAACACACTTCAGCTGGTTTTGATCCATGGACAGTGTGAACAACCTGTGCATTTTAGTAGTGCCTGTGTAACAGTTTTTGCTGGATTACTGTTTCAGAGGCTGTTTGAGGCTGATACCATTAGCTGACAAATATAAGAAGCCTGACTATTTTGATATTCTGGCCATGGTTCAAGAAGCAATTCCTTCTAGCATTGGCCTTCATGGTGTGCCTTTCTGTATAATGCCTCTGCTGCATTCTGACCCTGCCTATTTTAACATTAAACAAGCAGAGACATGTAGTTACTGTTTACAGCCTCACATTGTGCTTGCTTAAGCAGGCTGAATTCTCAGCAAAGATTGATTTTTGTGAAATTTCATGGGGAAATTTGGATTCACTTTACTAAGTACACATATCTGAATTGCACTGTTCTGTATTTTGATTCTGAATTATTTTGATTTTGTCATCTGTGAAATATTCTACACATCAGGCAGTATGAGAATGTAGATGATCAGATTCAGTTGCTGACTACAGGAAATAATCCAAAGCATTTTGAAGTCAAATTGTAAGTGAAATCACCAATATATGTGTCCTCCATGGGTCTGAAATCTCATTGGTGTGTGTAATCCTCCTTTCCTCAAGAAAGAACCATGTACTGATCAGACTGGCATTTCAACGTTTTCCTCAACTCCAGCTGACAGATGCTGTGTGAGGCAATAATAGCAACTTCAGTTGTAGGACACCACATCTTTACCTCTGAGGTCTAAAGTATCTAAAATAGCTTTGTGTTATTTGTTGATTTGGACTCTGTGAAGTCTGTAAGTGACTGAGTCCAAACGAGCAAATAGCACAGAGCTACTTTAGACCTCAGAGATAAAGTTATGAGAGGGCAAAGAAAACTATGGAAGAGTAGGAGTCTGCAGAATCAACTTGCATCGTTTTTATACAAACTGGATTCATAGATTGTAGGGATGAGACAAAATGCAGTATCTGGTTTTCCATCATCTGTTTCTTTTTCCTGAAGAAAACAGGGAGCTGCAGATACTGTGTGAGATGTGATGGCCTTGCTACATAATTTTGTGTGAAATTTTATCTAAGTAATTCTGAAAACAGAAAAAAAGGGAGACAGGAACAGCTGAGGCTGAATAGTACTCTGGAGTTAGCTTCAACTGAGACAGCTTTGCTTATTTTAGAGAAATAAGGTATTTTTAGGAGAACATTGAAGAAATAATGAAAGCTTCCTTTCACTAGCAATGGGCAGTTTCATCTTCATCAGGGTGATGTAAGAAATGCCACAAAAGAGAGATGAAAGTAGGTCATGTTATGTTCTCTTAATCAGAAGCTGCTAACCTTCCACAAATCCTCTTTGTAAGCCACTCTTGGTGGTTTTTTAAGTTAAAATGCGTATTCGTGTAAGTTAGACACATGTTTCAGGGCTGGCAGTTCTGCTTATTGCTTATATGGCAAAAAATATGGTTAGTGATCCCTTGTTACAATTCTTCACTTTCTTGTGGTTGCAAAGCACCTTTTCTACCAAAATGCTTGAAATTAATTTTGACTGTTCTAGTTGTGAATACCTAGAGCTCATGGCATTGTGACTTGTTTTTCCTACTACTTTATTCTTTCAGCCTTACATGCTGCTGCCCTTTCTGGCCATGTCAGCACAGTGAAATTGCTGTTGGAACATAACGCACAGGTGGATGCTTTGGATGTCATGAAGCACACTCCGCTTTTCCGAGCCTGTGAGATGGGACACAAAGAAGTGATACAAACACTCATTAGAGGTCAGCTGTTAGGAATTTACAAACCTGGTCAGAGTTCTGGTGCTACTTTCTGTGGGACTGGGAAATAAACTGTAGCTAAGCAAGAGACAAGGGGTAGAAAATTACTTCCCTAAAGCAGGTTTTGTCTCTAAGTACCCTTTATGGAACAATGCTGTAAAAGATTATCAGAGTGTTATGCAAAAAGCTTGAAGTGTTAAAACTCAAAGTTGGGATGGTTCTTTTCACAGCTCTTTTCTGCTCCAGCCTTTTCAAGTACATTCTAGTGTCTCAGACTGCCTCTTCCCCTAGCAAGTCATTGTTTTTCTGTCCTTTTTTTTTTTTTTCTCCAGTAAACAAAACCAAATTAAGCTTTCTTCTGTTTCATGAGAAAGCATTTTTAGGCTTCTTTGAAGACTTTTTGACCATTTAAATGAATCTTTCATTTTTTTTCAAATGAAGGTAGCCATCAAAAAACCTTAGTCATTCCCTAGAAACATTCAAGGTCAGACTGGACAGCTTTAGTTGAACTACCTAATCTAGTTGAAATGTCCCTACTCATTGCAGGGGGTTGGACTAGATGACCTTACAAGGTCTCTTTCAACTCAATTATATGATTTTAGAATTAATATTTTCCTCTGGTTGCTTTTTATAGGTGGTATTTTATTTGTAGGTAAAAATAAAATTTAACAATGTACACAGTTTGAGATAATTGTAGGAACTCTGCTGAAGTGTAAGAAGTATAGTGAAAGAACAGGGGCATCTTACATGCAAAATAATGTCATTTTAGCTTCACAGAAATGTTCTGAGTAGCTGGAAGCAGGCTTCCTCCTCCATCAGATATTATCCCATTAAGGGACAGTTGAAGTATCCAGTCTAATAAGGAGATACAAGTTTTCGTCCACCAACCTTTCTTACTGAGAAGCTTCCCTGAGCATATTTTAACCCCTTGTTGAGCTCTTCCTCCCACCCCCTATGCCATTTAGCTTATGTAGATGAAAGAATTTTGATTATCAGAATCTGAGTTATATTTAATTACATATTTTATGATACAGACAGTTGTTGCTAGTTGATTCCAGTTTTTGTATTAGTGGAATTCTGTTTTGTATGGAGTTTTTTCATCTTACAAGTACATGTAAAGAAATTAATTATCTGCATAGAAGAGTCTTGGCATGCTTGAATTTTAAAAAATCAAGCGTTTTTCAAAAGCCATTCTTACACTGTATTTTGTCTGTTTTACAGATTTAAAATTTTTCATCTGAAGTCAGATCTTCCAAAGTGATTTTATAGATAATCGTTTCACTGAGAATTAATATAGGCTAGTTTTTTTCAAGGGCATTTGATAGATGAAGATTCTAAAGCATCAGAGATGATGCTCAGAAGCTTGTAAGGAAGTTTGACGCCTGACCCTTACTGAAACCATGTTTAATTTTGATTTAAGTTTTAAGATTTGAGTAACGAAGTTACTTTCAGAAATCTTTCTCTGAATTGGCAGTTTACCAGATAAGTTTAGTTGAACATAACTTACTTATTTTCTTTGCACTCAAAAGTATTTTCTTTTTATGCTCAAAAATGTATTTGTTGTTACAGGAGGAGCAAGAGTAGATTTGGTTGACCAAGATGGCCATTCACCCCTTCACTGGGCAGCCCTGGGAGGAAATGCTGATGTGTGCCAAATCTTAATAGAAAATAAAATCAACCCTAATGTGCAGGATTATGCAGGTAGAACACCTCTGCAGTGTGCTGCTTACGGAGGCTACATTAACTGCATGGTGGTCTTGCTGGAAAACAACGCAGATCCAAATATTCAGGATAAAGAGGTATGTTGTTATTCACTAAGCTGTTTAATTAACTTTAGGATAATCATAAATAAAAACATTTTGCTTTTCTTCAAGGTAATTCTCTTTTCTGGGACATAGAAGCATCTTTGCTGCTGTATGCTATAAAAGGAAATACATCCAAAAGGAAATACATCCTGATGTAATTTTCCCTATCGCTTCACTTCTAAAGTCTTGAATGAAAAGAAGAATTTTAATATGCAGCAGGAATTTAAGTTCCATATTTTTCCATCTCAGTTTTGACTTTTCCTTATCAAAATGTGAGCTTGTGAGGAATCAATCATTTGATTTCTTAATTTCTATTGTGGGAATGTGATTTTATACCCTGCAATGTGTTTCTTCAGCATAGAGATAAAGAAAGTAAGATATTGCCAGTAAAATTGCACAAGAACTGCTTCTGTTACTTATCCACATAGGTATCACTCTTCCAGGAAAAAAAAAAAGAATGCTGATTAGTGTACGCGCTCTTTTGTGCCATTATTCAAGCAGTAAGTGAAATTAGGAACCAGAATAATTGTGCAACATATAACAGATTTCTTTGTTATATGACATGATTTCTCAGAAGTCAGTAGAGCTTTATCAATTAAAATAATTTCACCCAATTTGTTAAACTTTTCTGTAGCTGTTCATTGTGAGGCGTGGATAATTCCAGGTAATGGAGAAGGGTTGTTTTATTATGAGTTCTGCAGAGCATGCTGGGGTGATTTTGCTGCCAGCTGTGTATGGCATCAACTTGAGTACAGCTAAGCACATCAGCTCCACCTCTTTCACACAGACACAGCAGCATGCTCTTCAGCCCTTGGGGCTCGAGGGGCAGCTTGCTAGCACTGAACTCAGAATGTCTTCATGTTCTTCTGCGGTACCACGCCTTATTTCCTGCATTTGAAGTTCAGAAAAGCAAGATGCAGACAGGAGACATGGCCTGAAAGTGAAGTGAAATATGTATGTTTTGCTGATACTAACTGACCTTGAGGTAGTCATATTGTGGTTCTGTGATCCCAGTCCCAAGAGCGGTTTATATATGACCTGACTTATCAAGTGCAGCTTGAGAGTTGGACTTGCTTCATCTGAGAGAAACTAGACTTGTGAAATCAAGCTCGTTTTGAAAGCACAGCTGGAGCCTTTTTATCCTTAAGCTTCATATGATTTTGAATTCTGTGGTAGTTCTTCTAGTCTTGTCACAGTATTTTGGAGCAGCTTAGAAAACAGTCTGAACTGCAAGAGTTGATGAGAGCTGCTTCAGACCTGGGTGGCATAGCTGCAAAGAAACTGACTCTAGAGCTAGTCTCCTAATCCTGTTTTTCAGCTGCTTTATGTGGAAGAGCACGAGTGTCATAATTTTTTTTTTTTTTAATATTACATAATTTTTAAGTGTTGTATTCTTTTATTTTAACAGGAAAGTTTATTTAGAAGAATCACTTTGTCCTTCATGTCCAGAAAAGCATTGAATTACAGTATGATTTACAACTTTTATTGTGGCATGATAGAGTTTGGGGACAACATTTATTGTTGTTCTGCTCTGTTGTTTACAGGGAAGAACTGCTTTGCACTGGCTCTGTAACAATGGCTACCTTGATGCTATAAAGTTGCTGCTTGGTTTTGATGCTTTCCCTAATCATATGGAGAACAGCGAGGAGAGGTATTGCTTGTCTGATTGCATTATTTTATAATTTAAAGTGCTGCGTACTGGTTTAAATGTTAAGTGTTCAGATATCACTAGAGAATTACAATCTTGTGTCTAAAAGGAGTGCTGCAGTCTTCATTGTAAGCAGCTTTTCTAATGTGAAAAATCTCTTTAAGTAAGACATTTCAACTTCAACTGTGTACACTTTCAAACCTTGAACTTAGAGAGATTTCTATGAGTATTTACTCACTCTAGTCTTGTTTGAAATATTAAAGAACTTTCTAATTTATATAAAGTTGACAGTGGATATGTGCAGACAAAAGATGGATAAGGCATTTCTGCTGGTATTGGAGTAGACTGGAATTTTCTATTTGGTAGGAGTATAGTGAGGAGAAAGAAAATGTGAGAAATGTTACATTTTAAAATAGCGATTACAGATTACCTGGTGGTGAACTGTATGCTGAAGGCCTAGTTTAAAAAAAAAAAAGTCCTCCTATAATCATAAAGAGACAGTACATTTGCATCTCTTTTCTTTGTCTTTCATTGACATATAAATAATAGTTTTTTAAAAATGATTTTGATTGTGGAGTTCGAATTAGTCACCTGACTGTGAAGATAATTACTATTAGCAGAAATGTATAATGCCTTTTTCACAGCAGATGACCCTCTCATAATTATAAATAAAATTATCATCAGTATACCAGGTAAATGTGAATATTTCAACATTTTAAATCATGATTTTAAACCCTCATATTTTAGTGCTAAATTTGAGTCTTCCATAGTTATCCCAGTTTTAATTGCTTTCTTCCCTCATCATTTCTCTTTTGTTCTCTAAACCACTGAGATCTATCTTCCTTTTCTATTCTTGTTTTTTTTTTATGGAGAAACAAATGAAAGTATAAGTAGCTCCTAATTATGTAGTGTCAATGGTCTCTTTAGTTATTTTTTATAGAAAATTAAGTAAACAGTTGTAATTAAATTACTTTTCATAAGATTAAAGGCCGCTATTTTACCAGAAAGGAGGCTGCTATTTTCCTCATTTTGTAGAAATGTTCTTATGATGTTCAAATGTCAGGAAAAGACCTTACCTGTGGTTTTACTATAGTCATCCAGTTAGTATCTATTTTTGTTCCCCTTCTGGCATTAATATATATTTTTACATATAAATTTATATTATTCAAGATATAACTAGCAGTATTCCAAATGTCAGTCCTTAAGCACTATTCCACATGCAGAACAAAACAGAGCCCAAATATTTCTAGATGAAAGAATCTTTAAATATAATAAATGTATATATACTGTATGTAAGAAATGCATAGTTAACTGTTAATAAGCATCTGCAAATTCTTGATTCATTTTTAAGAGATCAGAAGCTTGGAAAATGGAAAAATCAAGATGAGTGTTGTAAGAGAGAGTAAAAATAACCTCATAGATATGCCTCATCTGTAATTTAATGAAATTGGTTTTTAATCATTAACAATTTCACCAGATAGTAAAGTTTTTCAAATATACCTATCGAAAGAAGCTTCCCTTCTTCACTTTCTTAGAGTGCAACATGAAATACCAGTTCAAAATTCTAACATAGTAGTTAAAACTAAATAGTTTTCAGAAAAGATGGAGCTGAGATTACATCTAGGATTTTAAGCTGCCCACTTGCTTGCAGATACACGATCAAGTGCCAGTCTGTAGAGTGGTAGGTTTGTTGTTCTTGGCAAATTTATTTCATAATCCAACTTGACATCCAGGGCGCATGACAGGGTAGCTGCTGCTTGACCAACTACGTGCTAAATTACATATATAACAGCTGTTGGTTGATGTCTTCTTTGCATGTTTTTCTGTCAGCCAAGCTCGATTAAAATGCTGTCTGCTTTAGAGATAACCAGTGGAAAAGAAAATTCATAACAGGCTTTGAACTGAGGCACCAGAGCAATGGCTCGTTATAAGGAGCACATATGAGCAGCCTTGCATGGGAGGTGTCCAGTCATACAAACCCATATTCAGATTTGATTTGAGTAACTTTTTTGCTTTCAGAGTTATCTACAATGGGGTTAGAGAATCTACATTTAAAAATACAGTCTTTATAAGTGATAAATGCTCCATCCCTGGCAGTGTTCAAGGCCAAGTTGGACAGAGTCTTGGGTGACATGGTTTACTGTGAGGTGTCCCTGCCCATGGCAGGGGGTTTGGAGCTAAATGATCTTAAGGTCCTTTCCAACCCTAACTGTTCTATGATTCTGTGACTGGGATCAGTAATATAATACATCGTCTTGGCACACACATGCTTAGTAGCATGTGGGTAAAGTTTATTTTAGTATCTTTTGTGTCTTTAATTAAAATTTTTGAAACCGGTTATAATTTTAAAATGTGGTTTTCTGAAAGGATGTCCCTTCTGAAGCTCCCATTCTTCAGTTATCAAAAATCTGTATCTCTTTAAATGCTATTGGCAACACACCTTGACATACAAATCTTCATGTTATGTCATTGCCTTTATTCCTGCAGACACTTTAGTTCAGATACCGTTAATCCTTCCATCAAATCATTGCTGCGTGGCAAGTCCAATTCTGCTTTCTGTCTGGTTTTCTTTGCTTACCAGCATTGCGTCCTAGCAAGTTACCATCAAGAGGATCCCTAATTTTCACAGTTGCATGCATTGACACTTGCTATTTGATAGTCTTGTATTATTTGGTCTCGGTTATGGTTTGTGACTGATAATTTTCAGTCACTAAATGTCTTTGCCTAATGTTTCAGTGTTGGTGAGGGAGGTATGTAAATTTTTTTTCCTGTGGTGACAAAGGGAAATTTGGGAATTATTTTTTAAAAGGGGTTAGGCGTATTTGACACTATTAAAAACCAAAGTATTTCATATTTTTAGCACCTGTATCCATTTGAAAACAGACTTAAGTCTTCCTAGTGGTCTTTCTGTTTGGCCAGTCATACTGTCCACAGTCTTTTCTTATAGAAGCTAAGCCAGACTTGACAGTAAATCTCTAGAACTGAAATTCATATAGGAGTAACACAAAAAATGTTTTAACTTGCGTTTTGTTCAGATTATATTTCTCTATGAGAACCTTAATAACACCTTTGTAAGACTGCTTGCCTAAAGCAGTTAATGCTATGTTTTGGGCTTTGGAGGATTTTGATCCAACATAGCGTGTAGTCTGCCCCTCCCCTCGCCACTTTTTATATTAGGAGACTAAAGTAAGCTTTAAACGTAGTCACAGAATGAGTAAGACAGGAAAAAAGTATTAAAAATTTAGTAAAACACCCTGTGTTAGACAGATGAAGACAGATTCAAAAACCATTGTTTAATCTGTCTTCATACTAGAAGGTCCCTTATTATGAAATGTGGATTAAGTAAATGCACATTATGGTTAGAATGCTAGTTCAATGATAATAGTTGTGGGTTTGTCTTGCTTTGCTTGGTTTTAGATATACTCCACTTGATTATGCCTTGCTTGGTGAACACCATGAAGTGATTCAGTTCATGTTAGAACATGGGGCTCTGTCTATAGCTGCCATACAGGACATTGCTGCCTTCAAAATTCAAGCTGTCTACAAAGGATACAAAGTTAGAAAGGCTTTTCAAGAGAGGAAGAATCTTCTAATGAAACATGAACAGCTGAGAAAAGATGCTGCCGCCAAGTAAGTCTGAGACTTGAAATCTACTTCAGCAAATAGATATTTGTCATGAGTTTGTGTATATCACTGTATGATTTTGTCTGTTACTCATCATCAGCTCTTATTCCTTTGAGTGAAATTCATGAAACTGTAGATGATAGATGGTATATAATGCATTCTTTTTCCATACACCTATAGATGGAAATTATTTTCCAGATAATCCCAGATTTAATAACAGGCTTTATATAGTATAGAAGAACAGGGCAAAATATCAAAAGCTGAGAAAGTAGCAAGTTAGCATCCACAAATCTTTACTTGATATTTTGTATGGTGATAAAAAGGCTTGGAAGACATTTATCACTGAAGGTAATGGAAATAATTATTGACCTATGAAGTATTTTATATTAATTTTGAAAAGAAATTAATAATTAAATGAAGAAATAAAAAGGAACAAGCAAGAAAAGCTCAATTTAATAAGGCTTAACTTACTGTTTCACATGAGAGGTGGTGCTTTGCTAGCAAACTGAACTTCTGTTTCGGCAGTATCGTTCTTTGTACTTACTATTTCTGCTCCTGAATTAGAGAGTTACCATGAAATCATTATATTAGATTCTAGATAACTAACATGTACAGTTGAAATAGTTACTTGTAAGAGTGTAGGTTCTGACTGAGTTTCTACTCTGTTTACATGAGCTGATGGTAGTAAAGTGGTGAAATTCTAAAATCAGAAGGTACATAAATGGCCATCAAAATACTTCAATTGCTCTGGTTTTATCCTTCAAGAACATTATATGAAGAAGAACAAATTAGCACCTGGTTTCTCGTGATGAAATCTGATTCCAGAATAAAAAACCATGACAATCTGAAAATATTTCTGCATGATTTTGTAGTAGTATTTCTGTAGAGAGGTCAAGTTAATAAGCACACAACATAATCATTGCAGCTAGAGATATTTTTTGTGCATCTGTGTATCATAGACAAGGTCAGCTGCAATGTGCTCTATTTCAGTTTTTGTATTTTGATGTTCTGCCTAACTGGCCATTTTGACCTTCATTGGGTTTGAGTGCTACTACTGTACTGTTCAGTAGTTTTTAATGCCCAGAAAGAACTAAAGCTAGAAATCTCATCTGACTAATCCCTTGCAGAGTCTTTAGATGCTAAAGTTGTAACTTGCAGCCCTCCTACTATTTGTCTTTTTTGCTGAAGTCAGTAGAAGTTAAACTCATGCATGGAGAAGCTGCCTTTGAAAATATCCCCATTATCTTTGTATTTCTTTTTAGTTTGGAAAACTCTGTTTCTTGCTCTGTGGTCACAGCTGACTACCAAATGAGGTAGCTTTATTCTTTATGATGACAGTAATTTGTAAAAGAATCTGTGCTACCCATTTAGAAGGTAAAACGAAAAAGGATTGCCTCGTGGAAATTTGGGGGTGTTTTACAGTTATTTTGCTCTGTGAGTTTCTGATGTACTTTCTGAAACTTACTAAGCTCTTGTTGATTTGTTTGAAAACAATAGAAACAAAGTCTGTGTACCAAATACCATAAAATTAGAATTAAAATACAGTTGGAGTGTACAAGCAAATCAAGTTGTCACATAACAAATTTTATTTAATTGCAGTTTTATGATCTGTAATAAACTGAAGGGACATTATGTTGTCATCATTCTGTGTACCCATCTGTGCATTCCACAGCTAAAATTGGCCAGGGTGTTGCTACATACAAAAACCTAATATCCCTACTGATGTTTAAAAGTCTGCTCTCCAGATAAAGGTAGACGATATGTGGGAATCCATAATGCTGGTGAACTCCTAGATTGAGCACCCCCCACACACACTATTTCAATGCACGTATTTGAAACTTGCTTTGTAATATGTTAGAGAGACTCACTGATATAAATCATTCCTGAGTCTGCATGGGTTTAATCTGTTGGGCTTTCTTCCTTAACGAAAAGTCAACCAACATCACATACGTGTATTATTTTCTGGTAGAGTTACATTGACTGTATTAAATGCCTGTGAAATATTTCTATACAAACATATTCACCCGTGTTAAACAAACCTATGTCAAAGAAATGGTAATTTATAAAATGAAGATTGATTCAGGGCAAAACAGCATGCACCCTATTATGTCAGTGAACAAACAGACTTATCATGAGACCAATGAGGGTAAGCAGGGAAGCCATGATAGAGCTCAAATGCAAAAGGGCAGTATACAGAAGGTGAAAGCAGGGATGGGCTGCAAAGGAAGAATGTGAAAACATTGCATGGGCCTGTAGGGAAAGTGACAGAAAAGCCAAAACTCAAATGGAGTTGAGGCTTTGAAGGGATGTCACAGGTAATAAGATGAGCTTCTGCCCCTACATTAATATTAAAAGGGTGAGCAAAGAAAATGTGGACCTGTTGCTTGAATGGTGCAGATGACTTAGTGACAACAGACAGGTGTGGCAGAAATATGCAATGCTTTCTTTTCCTTAGTCTTCACCAAGAATGTCTCCTAGGCCTCTGTGCTTAGGGAAGTGGTTCAAGGAGAAGAGCTGTCAGCTGTAAATCAGGATTAAGTCAGGGATTACTTGAGAGAAATCAGCCCAGACAAGTCCATGGAACCAGATGGGTTGCATCCAACGGTGCTGAGAGAACTAACGGATGTCCTTAAAAGGCCACTTTCAAACATCTTTGAAAGATCGCAGAAGCCAGGGAAGGGTCCTCAATGACTGGAGGAAAGCAGATGTTGCACCCAACTTCAAAAAGGACCAAAACACACATCCTATAAAAGGAAGAGCAAAGAAAGGGTTGCTCCATGACTGATACTGAAAAGTCTGAAGTGTTCTATGTCCTTTTTGTTTCAGTCTTCATTAAATGTCAAATGATACCCATTAGCAAGTGAAATCACACTAGTAACAAACAGCAGCAATCAGGATAAAATACTGAAACAACAGTTTAGAGATTAGTGGATGAGTGAGGTGCTTTCAGATCAGTTTAGCCTGATAAAGCTCATCCTGAGTTGTTTAGAAAATTGGGTGATATAATCTAATGGTTACCCTTAAAAACTTTAGGAGGACTGTTGGGATTGGAGAATCAAGGGCCAGCTAAAGTAGCTTGCCCAGGACCATGTCCAGTCATGTTTTGAGTGTCTATGCAAATGGAGACTCCACAACCTCTGTGGGCAACCTGTTCCAGTGTTTGACCACCCTCACAGTAAAATATGTGTTTTCTTGTGTTCAGGTAGGATTTAATGACTTTTGATTTATGCTTAACTGCCTGCTGTGGGTGATACTGAGAACAGTCTGGCTCCATGTTCTTTGTTCCCTCCCATCAGATATTTATAGACATAGATGAGATTCCCCCCAGAGCCTTCTCTTGTCCAAGCTGAATAGTCCCAGCTTTCTCAACCTCTTGTCATATGAAAGATGCTCCAGTACCTTAGGGTGGAAAATATCAAAATGCAAAGACTGTAAGCATATCAAAGACTAAATTAGAAATATGAATGGTGTTAAAATACATATGAGAAATGACTGAGGAAAAAACAGGTAGCTAGGTAAGGACAATGGAGTGCTCTACACATTTTGGAAGATCAATCAACACAGGAATACTGGTCAGAAAGTGTCTCTTAGCATTTTTATTAAGAACTATCTGTTAAATATCGTGGTAGATCAGAAGCTGAACATGTCGTGATTCAAAAGTGTTATGCTTCTAAAAACATGCCTCATGATAAATTGGCAGAAGGCAGCTGTTTATACAGCATGAATTATAACTCCTCTTGGTCCAGATAAAGCTTCAGCAATAGTAGGACCATACCTGGAGATCTATTTTCAGTTATGATTTTTGAAGTAACTGTTTCTTGCAAGGGCAACTTCAAAAATGCTCTCTAGGCACATGGAGATGTTCTAAATTTAAAGCAGAGTAGATAGATACAAAAAGCACAGTGTTCTTAACAGGATAGAAGAGGTTGGCTTCCTTTTAGCAGGATCAAAATTCAGAGAATTTCTGTGTCTTCACAAATGCGTGAGGCTGAAACTGTTCCTTTCCATCTGCTAAAGGCTCAGTTTCCATTCTCTCACTTTTGTAATGAAATACAAATTTATGACCATTCAGAACAAAATCCTGTTGCAATTATAGTGTAAAATGTTGGGCTGCCAGCTCTGTTATCACTGTCAAGCCATAGTTGTCTAATTTGAGAGCCCAGATTTGGATCTTGTTGTATAGCTAGAACCTCCCCAAAATGAATGAGAACCCTTAAAACAGGAATTTTTCTCCTCCTTTACTTCTCCATCAAACCTAGTCTCTCAAGTCAGACAACAGCAAAACTTGGACATTTTCATTTGAAAGATATGTTTCATTATGACACGAACTGAATTTCTAAGTAAATAAAAAACACAAGGGGAGGTTGGTAAGTATTCAGGAATCTGTTAATTGACTAGGCTGTTGTGTGACAATTAGCATGATGGGCTATGAATAGGGAGCTTTGAAATCCCTTCCATTTATTATTTCTTCAGTGTAATCTGAAAAACCAGCACACAAGGAAGACCTTTTTTTTAAGAAAAATCCCCTTTTGCTTCTTGTGAATTTCTGGTCCTGTGCCATTTCAATAACTTTATGATTGGTTTGTCACTGAAGTTACTGTTTTGAGTTAATCTGCTCATGCAAAGAGTCAGGTCACTCTGGGCTGATTGTGTATCGCACAACACATCTCACACTTTCTTTTTAAATACCCTAAAGGAGCATAGTGGTAATAGGCTGCTTGATTCTTGTAGGAAAGGACTATTCTGTGAATAGTAAGATCTGATTCATCAGCTCAAATGGCAGAGTAATGGCAGTGAGATCCATACTGTACACAATCCAGTCCAGTTACGGAATGCTGACATTATTTGAAACCAGCCACGTTTTTCCATGCCAGAGGGAATGCTGAACCTCAGGCTGCTGGAGTGTATTTTTTAGATCAATTAACAGCTTTTCAGGTGCAAAGTTCAATCAGCTGCTTCTGCAGAGTGTACTTCATAAGATAGTACTGACAGATAAACTTAAGGCTTCTCCCTGGCAGCTCACGCTGAAATGACATATACTGGCATTAATACAACTCACAGGAACTGAGGATGGCATGCTGCATAACTAACCTGTCATATGCTGTGCTGTGAGCTAATGTGTCAACAGTCTGCAAACTATGTTGTAGCATTGGAAGCAAGTTAAAATACCAGGCAGCGACATGATACGACATTTATCACCTGTCCATTCCAACAGGAAAAATGTCACTTCATCTTACAACCAGTGCTTAATTTGCAAAACCAAGTTCAGTGGTAGGTAGGTAATGTTTGCTATGTGCTATTGGGTCTATTCTGCTTTGTAGGAGAAGAATTTAAAAGCTAAAGTGCAATGATATCTCACTGTATTTAAAAATAGGCTGCAAAACTTTATTCAAGAGATGCGCCTTTCCTAACCTTGTCCAAAATTCTCCTTTTTATCTACACTATTTAAGGGATGCATGACTTCTTTCATTTTGAAAACCAAATATCATAATTGTAATGGCATACTACGGGCGCACAAGGTTTTAATTCACGTCTCATATTTTCAGTATTTATCATTTGTATAATGTATAATCTGTTTATATGCATTATCTGCCAATGATAAATACATAGAAGCAAGTAAGTATCAGTAGCTAGTTTGAAATTGGTTTATAATTATCTGAATTAATTATGACACAGGTAAGTATGAAAAATAATTTTCAAAGAGATGATGTCTTTTACTGGTTTTCTGGTTTTTACATACAGTGCATTGCATAACCACTTGTATGAAAGCATTGTTCATTACTAATGAAAAACATAGTTATTAGCATCATATTGCTTATCTTCTGTCACCTTTTCAAAATCCTCCTTTAAGCTTTTGTATATTTATGAAAAACCTAAATTTCATTGTTTTCAATAAGGGTGTGCTGTAAAATCAGCTTAAACCACTGCAAACTGAACGGGCAGCTGCCTAATAAGGACTTAAGCTTCATTAGGCTGGAGCTGCAAGTCAGTTGTTATTTCAGATCAAGTTAAGACACTTCAATACAATAGGTGTCCCTTTCTCATAAAAAAAGGTGTTGTCCTCAGAGTTTTGTTGTGGCAGTGTCAAGTTTCTAGAAAGCAATGTGTTCAACTTAGATACATGCTCCCAAGATTTTGTCTTTGGAATTCTTACGGTATTGACTATAATTACAGGAAACGTGAAGAGGAAAGTAAAAGAAAAGAGGCCAAGCTACAGAATGGGATGCAGAACGTGGAAGAAAACAAGCTTCAAGTACAACAGAATGCTGTAAATCCAGAGAAGACTACCAGCAATTCACAGTTACCTAACAAACCCATTGATACACAGAGTAAGAGATCTCTGTCCCTCGGTGGTTCGCAAATTCAACTAGGGAGAAACAGTAGAGGTTCACCTAAAGCTTGTCACAACAAAGGAACACCAAAGGAGAGTTGCCTGTCAGCTGAGCCTCAGAGTGAAGGTCATAAAATCAGGAAAGGTTTGTAAGCTTTTTAAATTGTCCTGATTATCCTTCTTGTCCATGTGTGGGGTGTTTTATGTATAGGACTTGTTTCATCTTTGTAGCATTTCTTATCCTTTCATCATTTAAGCAATTCATATATGATAAGAGTTAGATACAGATTCTTTTTGCTGTGTGTGTTTTGTCATCTGAAGTAGTCAAAAATGCCAGTATATACAATGCCTTTTAAATATGTAAAATATGTGAGAACAGGCTGTTGGGAGTTGGTTCTATTAGTTGCATTGTTAGGAGAAAATGAGATTAAAGGTATTTGGCATATCTATGGGATACTTGAAGAGTGCTAATGGAGAAAAGGGTAATTCTTGTTTTTAAATGAGGTTGAAATGAGGATAAAATTGTTCTAAGTGACATCTCTAGCATACAGAGGGAGCTGTTCAGTCTGCTTCATTCTCCATGTCAGGGTTCTCCTATGATTTGTTTCTGAAGTCCTCTTGTTGAGACCACTCTAGGGTATTTTTTGAGAAGTGGAACTGTTTTTAGAAATTGTACTATGAAGCAGTGTGTCAAAGGTGCCCTGCTGCACTCTTGTATTCTGTCTTTAAATGCATCATCAATTTATCGTCATTTCTTATTAGTTTTGTGAGATAGTGAACATAATGAGGAAAAATTGATAAGTATGGAAAAAAGGGAAGTGGGAAAGAGAGATCTGGGAAGGTTTACAACAGTGAAGAGCAGGAAGAAAAGAAGAACTACAAAGAAACTATAAAAGAGGAACAAGCAGCCTTTCTTTTACTGACTCCAGTATCCATTCTTAGCCAAAATCTTCCATTGATCATGACAATGGAAACTGCATTGCATCAGTCAGACTCCCACTGGTTCTGAACCAAATACAATAGTTTTGCAGAGAGAATGACCTGAGGAAGTAGGTAGTATGTAGTCCATGGGAAACAGGGGCTATAAAGTCAAACTGACTACAGAGATCAGGACAGAATTTGTCGAATTTTCTATAAAGGATTCTATTATTGATGCTTGTATTTGGAAAACTGCATTTATGTTCAGTTGGGTGTACTACCCTTTACAGTAACCTAGGGAATTCAAACCAGCAGCAAATGCCACCAGTGTCTAGCTTGGACTTTTGATTGAAGGCTTCCCTGAAGATGCAGATTTCCTGATGTAGCTACGCCAGAATAATTTTTCCATGGTGATGGTTCTACAAGTAAAATTTTAAAATCATATAGGCTATTGCCTGGAGATTTTTTTATTTTCAATATGTCTTTAAAAGCAGAATATAATTTCTGCAAACAGAATTTTAAGTAGAAAATTCTTTCTGTTATTTACTATTTTTCTTCACCATGTTGGACGTGACAGCAAAACTGTTTACTCGGTCTTCTTCTGAAAATACATGTCTGTTTCTCCTACAAGACCAGTTTACTTTCAGATTGTAAAGAAAGGCCCCTCTTGCCCAGTCCAAAAAGCCTATGCTTGAAATAAAACGCTATGCCATTTTTAGGCATGCATTCTCTTTTTGCTATTGAAATGATGCCAAGAAAGCTGATACAGCAAGGATCAAATTATGGAGTTCTTTAATCAGTTCTCATTAAGTGTTTTAATCAGTCCTTTTGTGACCAAAAATTTAATGGATTTCATTGGACATTTTATTGGAATTAAATATGAATTTAGATCCTGTGGGCTGTGGAAATTATGATTTAATTGGTAGGGTTTTCTGATCTGTTCTTCACAGAGAAATCCTCTTTCCTATTTATGTTATCTCATTTGCCTTAGCTGTAGTACGAACAGATAAGTTATTTTTTTAGTGCTCTGTACTTGCTATCACTTGGTCTTTCTATCTAAGAAAGTTTCTATCAACCTTAAAAGATGAGCTAGAACACTTAAATTATGGGCTTTTTCCATCATCCAGTTACCCAGCTGTTCAGGTTGAGAAGTTTTGCACATACTACTTCAGTGTCTTATGATTGAAGCAAAACAGCTTTCTACATGATGCACGTGCAAACCAGGTAGCGGATGTTGGTGAATTCAGAATGACAAGGCTTTTCTTTTAAAGCTGTGTCCTTTTTCCTTGTTGAGAGAACAACAGTGCTGTAAACTTTATATGTTGGAGCTGACTGTCAGCCCTATGCCCATTTTATTGATGGCACTGGCAGTTTCTGATTTGGCTTCTCTAGGACTTGGATTATGCCCTTAGAAATCTTGGCATCAGAAGGCACGTTGATTTTAAATTGTCTATTCCCCAGGTGTAATGCAAGAGAGAGTGAATTCCCTTCTCCATTCTGAGCAGTTAAAACAATAGATCAATATAGAAAAGAAAAAGATAATTACATTAATAATAGATTAAAATAATAGATTAGGTTTTTTTCCCCTGTCCCAGAACATAGAGGGCTATCCACACATATGCTAATCATGTGTAAGTTAGAGTAGCTTCTCAGCCCACACTGACCTGTCACTATGATAAATCTTCTTTGTTGGAGACATCATTGATGATATTCTTTAGTTTCATTTGTATAATCTGATATGTGCCATATTCTGTTACCCAGTCAAAAGAGTATCCTGACAGGCTGCAGTGGGGATGAATATAGCATGGTTTCTTCAGGTTTTGGATGATCCAGCAGATTTTCTGTGATTCTGGCATATCAAAGGTCTGTTACAACCATTGTCTGTTACATTTCATCCTGCATGGCCTGTTTTCTCATTCTCCTGTTAGTTTCCAAACAAAATGGAAAGTGTATGGTAGATGGAAGATTTTCAGTTTTGCACTGACGTCTGGCTTCCAGATCATCCTTGCAAGGGCATTTAGAAGCGCTTATCTCACAGCAGCAAGGGAGAAATGGGAAGGACTGCCTAGTTTCATTTAGGATGTCAAGTACCGAGAAGCCAAGCACTCTGGGTTTCCTGGGTCAGTGGGTTACCCAGTCTGTCATCACATGCCAGGATACAGGGTGGCTAGAGCAGAACTTCAGCAAATAAGCTTGAAACAGTGACAGTCTGTCACAGTATCTGCACTGGAATGAGCAGATGTGTTCATAGGGCTGCATTCCTGCACCACACTGTGAGCTAGTTTCTTTGGAGAACACCAGTATATTCAGGTAGGTGAAGAAACAGCTTTTCCCTGTGAACATTTTTTAGGCATCTAAGTCAAATGCATTGTAAGAAAGAAAAATACTTTGAGAACCAAAAGCAAATTAAGAAGTTTTGGACTGCACTGTTACAGGAAATCAGGTCTGCTCCTGATTCTTCCTGCTCACGTGTTTTTTCATTTTAATAAATCCCAGTGTGCCTCAAAGGCAATTCAGCAAAAAGGGAAATAGAGAAAAAACCTACATTTTGTTGGTTCAAAGCCTGAATGTTGGTTTCCATTTCTCTGTCTAAAGATTCACTGAGGAAACACACCAAAAGCAAGTCAAGTTGTGTCCATTTAAATTGTGACAAAGTAAAAGAGGGAACAAAAGCTGAAGTGAAACATCAGGTCGCAGCTACTACAGAACTGGATGGAGAAAAGCACAAATTGCATGCTGTCGACACAACGAGTGCTTGTGTTCGGAGGAGCAGAAGGCATACTGCTGCTGCTTGTAGGACTGCGAGTGTTGGGGAAAAGCTAAGAGATCAAAGTCAGCCTTCATCTGGCAGCAGGGACCGTTGTGAAGGAACGGCTGTGTTCTTCTGCAATGTCAGCTGTACTGGTGGAGTTGCGAGAAACTCGAAGCAATGTGAAGCTTCTTCCAAAAGCAAAAGGCATCAGCAGAAATGCAGAAGTAAAGAGGTAAATGATGAGCGATGTTCACCAGCTGGCTCTAGTAGACCAGGAAGTGCCAAAACAGTATTTGTAAACACCAGAAATGACAGCGTGCGTGCTGTAGAGCAAACTAACAGAGTGGGAAATAACGAGTTAGCAAAAAAGGCCTCCCCTTTATTGTCTGTTAAGGCAGAACCTATGGGAGCTGTGCCAAGAAACCCAGCAGCGTGTTCTGCACCTGATGACAGTTCGAACTTGGAAAAAACAAGCATAATTGGATCCAGGAATGCAGATGATCAATCATGTTCTGTCGCATGGCAAAGTACAAATATTGAACTGATCCCTTTAGAGATTCGAATGCAGATTATAGAAAAAGAAAGAAAAAGAAAAGAGCTGTTTCGGAAGAAGAACTATGCTGCTACAGTCATCCAGAGGACATGGAGAAGGTAAGACTGCTGTTTCAGTAGCTAGAGAAGAGTAAGATATAAGTAGATGTAAAGTAAATTAGCTTGTTGGCAAAGTGCTTTTATTTGGTTCTTTTGCTCACATTACCGGTGCTAAATAATGAATTTAATAATCTTTCACCAAACAAGTGAAAGCAGGTTTCAGTCACCTCGAATTATATTAGTAAGCTCATAAAAAGTACAAGGTAAGTGATGACTTTTAATAAGCAGAGAAGTTATGAAACTTCTGTTTCAAGCACTGAAACTTCTTCAGAGAGTGAGGATCAGAATTTGCCTAAGCCTGCAGTTACCTGCTCTCATGTTCATTAGGAAACTTGCACATGGAGGGATACAGGGTTTTTCCTGAAAAGGTTTTTGTAGCCAGATCCTTCACCACCATTTACTGTCACACTTGAAATTGTATTCTGACCTGACTTTCAACTGGGCAACCAAACCACAAAAGGTTTGGAAGCTTTGGAAGTTCATTGCCAAAACTTGAAGCTAACTTGAGTAACTTGATTGAGCAGGAATGACTGCTGTACAGAAGAGGCAGACAGGAGAGAGTGAGATGTCCCAGCCTTTGCTTTCCATAGCATTGTCCTGCTTTCATGAATGCTCGTTGTTTGCTATCTGTTCATCCAGCTCTGGGGTCCCTAGGACAAGCATGGACCTGTTGGAGCAGCTCCAGAGAAGGGCCATGAGAATGGTCAGTGGGCCAGAACATCTATGCTATGAAAACAGGCTGAGAGAGTATTCTTATTCAGCCTGAAGATAGAAGGCACAGGGGAGACCTGATGGTGCCCCCCTTGAAAGGGGGTGTGTAAGAAAGATGGAATAAGACTTTTTACCAAGGCTTGTAGTGACAGGACAAGGGGGACAGTTTTAAACTGACAGAGGGTAGGGTTAGATTGGACATAAAGGAGGAAGTTCATGATGAGGGTGGTGAGGCACTGATAGAGGCTGCCTGGAGAAGAAGGGGCTGCCTAATCCCTGGCAGTGTTCAAGGCCAGGTTGGATGGGGCTTGGAGCAACCTGGTTTAGTGGAAGGTGTCCCTGCCTATGGCAGGGGGTTGGAACTAAATGGTCTCTAAAGGTCCCCAAACCATTCTGTGGTTCTGTGCTTCTTCCCCATTACTTATACCCCCACTGACCTGCAAAGCAAAGCAGCCACTTGTTTTCCCGGTGATCCACCACTTCTGCCTTCAACTCTCTCTGCTGCTTCCAGACACTATGCAAGCAGCTCAGTGCTGGCAGTGTTTTCGTTGGCCTTTTCTCATGTAGATGCCAATTTCTTGTCTTATGTGTTAAGGTATTTTTAGATACCAAAAGCTAAAGTCAGGAGTAAGTTAAGAGAGTATATCCATAAGTGATACTGTTGCATCTGAAGGCTATGCTGTATTCACTGAACAGCAAATTAAAATCCCCATAGACGAGTAGACATACTATGTATTTCAGTCAGAGCATCAAAATGTGTAGTGAGTGCTTGTGCAAATTTCCTCACAAGATCTGGGATCTAAAGCCCTGTATTGAGGTAGCTTGCTTGTATAGAAATCTTTGTATTCCGTTTACAGTTTTGACTAAAGGTTGTGGATAGATCTTTCTGAACTATCCATCTGCTGGAACAGCAGCAGTGTTTTCTATCACTGAGCATGCACTCACAGCACTTCAGAAATTATGGGGATTAAAGATTGTTTAAATGACATTTGCTATTGTGAGAATTAATAAGGAAAAATAAACATTTGCTGTGTTTGCAAAACTCCTATAGTATATAAAACATTAACATGGATCATAGATCTGCAAGACTGCAGGAGAGGTTAGTTTGGCTGTTCCTCCACTGCCATTTTGTTACATCTGTGGACAATGTAGTGTTGCTAGACCTTTGCTGGAGTTCATCACATTTGCAGTGATATTAGAATGCATTTATTTCAGTGAATGTTTTGACGCAAAATGCAGAACAGTTTTGATTGGCAGCAGTGCTGAGGTCAGGGCACGCCACTGTTGTGAAGAGCTGTGCTTCCCTCCCATCTTCTCTCTCCCAGGCCCACCACTTCTGCTGTCTCTTCTGCTTACGCTTCAAGCTCAGCATGAACTTTATTGCGTGTTTTGAAACCCACATGGATGATGGGAGCTGTGAAATCAGACCAGATTTCCTTCTCCCAATTTCCATGCTGTTATCGCATCAGTAGTTTTTATTTTTAAAAAGAAGATATTTCTTCTTCTCCCTCTGAAGCACAGTTCATATACATCCCAAAAAAGAATTGCTGTGAGTATTTTAGGATGTAGCTCCCACGACTGATGGTGGCACCTGGATGCCAAGAAGTCATGGTTAAGCGTTTCCAGCTAGCTCACCCAGCGTGTGCTGTTAGTTACTATGCTGTCAGTTATTCTGACTCTCCCTCTGAAATACCTATTTTCCCACCCACTGTACACTGAATTATAGTTCTTACGCAGGTACTTACTGTGTGACTGTGGGTCCCACCCAGTCCTGTGTTTGTCTTTCAGGTCCAGGCTGGCACAGGCAAATAGCATGTACTTGTAGACAGCAATAGAATTACACATCGTTAATGTGTAATTCTGCATTAGAAACATGTAGAGGTACATGCTTGGGTTCTGGCATTTCTCTTAATTAGGATTAAATACATTTGTCTCACTGCAAATTTTATAGTCATGATTTACTTCTTGAAAGTTTATTGAGACCTGTGGTGAGCTGTAACACAATGGTACTGCTCTGCTTAAGTGTATGAAACTTGCCTTTCTTGAGAAAATGTTTCAATTCCCACAGTCCACACACTTTATAAATGTAGTCCTCAAAAGCCTGTGTTTAGGTGTGTGGATTGCCAAAGGTTAATTGCTTCTCCTGCTTACTGAGCCTTACACATTCTGTGTCTAGCTTGCTCTCATGGGGGACACTGAGGCCTGTAACCATTCTCTGGAGTCCACAGTTGAGTTGACAGAAGATGGAAGTAAGTTGGTTGCTGTTACCGTTGGTCTCCTGTGGGAGTCATGCTATATTGTCTTTGTATGTTACTGCTATATGCATACTTTGAGCAGCAGTGGGCTTTAAGATTAGAGCTTCTATACCAATGAACCTGAGTACCATTTGCCAGCTTTGCCACTCTGCACATGTATTCCACATTTCTTTGCTCTGCAGTAGTTTTATTGACTAAGCACTGGCTATTTTGTTAAGGCCCCACATCAGATTCATAAAGCATCAAACTTGGAGCCACTCTTCTTTTTTCTCACTAGGGTCAGAACAATCAGTTACAGGAGAGCTGAATTCAGAGAATGTGCCCATGCTCTAAAGATAACTGCCTACGTCATCTTGGTGTCAGAGCCTCGCAGTTGTTTTCTGGTTGCTAAAAACTACCAGAAGTTCTTTGCAAACATGAAATCACAGCTGGGTGCAAAGGTGGAGTGCCTGTGAGTGGGTCACTTCACCTATCAGCAAAGGCTTCTGGCAGCAATTACTGAATTCCAAGAGAACAACTTAGTAGTCTTTTCTGCTCAAGTATAGAACAGTTCCCCAATTGTTTTTCCTGCAGCAGTAGTCACGTAACCCATCCCTAGCTCCAGTTACGTTAGCAAGTCACTGTAACTGTGCCCCCCTTCACTTTCTTTTCCTCTCTTACCCCATTGAGCAGTTCTGATTGACGTGTTACTTACCCAAACTGGATCCTTTTTTCCCTTCTTTTAATAACGCTTCTGTTCTGTATCCGTACAGTACTTTGCAGCTCACAGGCACTACAGGCCTTTATTGGTAAGCTGCAGTTGTTACGTACTTTAATGAGCTGTATAACAGGACGTGCCTGAATTCTGAAGCTCCACTAAATTAAGATTGAATATATTTGTCTCACCCAGCAAGTTTCACTGAGGGAATTTACTAAGCTTATTATTGAAAGTTTAAAATTGCTGGGGCTCTAACTGAGCATTATCATCCCCCTTTGGCATCCTGTTGTGCTTTTATGTGCTCATTTTTCTGTATAGGGCTGGTGGTTCATTTGAAGCATACAGCTTGTTAGCTTGTATATTTACACATTTTGTATCTGGTTGTGCTGCCTTTTGTTTTAACTGAGAACTTGTTGCAGATGGAGCAAGAGAACAAAATCACCTCCTTCTCCCTCCTTCCTCATTCCTTCTAATGTGGCATCCAGTAGAAGCCTTTTCAGATGCCATAGGAGATGATGCCCCATGTGTTTTGGACAGTTACCAAACACTTACTTACAATTAATAGTTTACAAGTGTTACTACTCAATGTTCATCTATGGCAGGTTTGTCCTGGGAAGATTCAGAGTTAATTGCTAGGCCAGTTAATGGACTCGCGAGTGTGAAATGCCACTATCTGATTTAATACTTGTATCCGATTCAAGAAAAACAGCCAAACAACTCCTGGTCACTGGTGCCATTAGGCATCAAAGTGGGAAGAAGGACAGATCATCTACTGCTGCCACGTGGAACTGTGTAAGATCAAAGCAGCCATGGCAAGGTTGGGTTGGGAGACAGAGCCTTTGAAGGGAAGGGGAAAAAGCAAAACTAGATTGCTGAAAAGATGAGGGGAGCACCTTTGGAGGAGGGAGGGAAAGCATCTCAGGGTTTCCGTAGAGGAAATGTGCAGTTGAACCTGTAAGTAGATCTGGTTTGTCTCTTGCACTGATTGACTGAGCAAGTGGTAAAGCACACGGGAAAATTTGGTGTTATTAAGCTGTGAATACAGTTGAAATGAGAAAACAGTATTGTATTGATTATACTCATAAATATGTACAGGTCTTGTCTTCTCCATGCTTTCTCTGTATTATAAAGCAGTTGATATGCTGTTGTGGTGCTGTAACTTTGGATACCTGTAATGCCAGATCTTTATTAACTGTGTGAATAACGGCTGTATCCAGAATTGAACCCAGCTCCTGCTTTTGCTTCTGAGCAAACATTTCTCATCCAAATGACTTAGCACATCAGTGGGAGTTCTGTTTTCCCAGTTAACTCATGTAATCCACCATGTGAACTGATGTGTGGAAAGCACCAAAGTTAAAACAGGTCACCTAAAACAAGCACTCTTCTCTTTTCTGCTTTCTAGTTACCAGCTAAGACAGGAGATGTTCCAGCTTCTAAGTGCTAAGCGGCAGTGCAAAGAAGATGAAGACAAATGGAGACAAGAGACAGCTGCCTTCTTCATTCGGGTTGCCTGGAAGAAACAGCTGAACCATAGCCTTCTGAAATCAGCTCCTTCATGTAAAAACCTGAAACCTGTAAATAAAACCAGCTCGGCCATAAAACCCAGCAAGCAGTCCATCCTGAAGCAAATATATGGTAACTTTGTCTTCACTCTATTTTAAATAGCTACACTTTTATAACAGTGTATTCTTCTGTACACCCCTTACCTCATTGTTACAGATTTCACGTATTTATTACAATTAGTCTGAATCTTGGGTGTTCTGGGGTAATTGTGTGTCACAGACTGAAAGAAACCCTCTGTGATTTAAACTGGCTGCTGCTAAAGCTGTTTGAATCACCACATAGCGTTACTCCAGCATGGGTCTTGAGCAACCAAACAATTCTTTTGCCAGAGCTGTTAAACTGGGGACAGCTGGCACAATCAATGCATAGTGGCTGTCTGGAGCATGGTTTAAGCATGATTTTAAGCTTTATGGGGTTTATATTGTTTTTTAAATATTTCTATTTGAAGAATGTGGTCTTGCTCCATGTTCATAACTTAATTGCTTCAAGAGAACTGGTCTTTATTGGAAGAGGAAGATCAGCTTTTATGGTAGCACTGCACTATGCCTGAATGTGTATGGTGCAAAGGACTCCATCTTGCAGAAAGGGTAGCAGGAAAGCATTGATTTAAACCTTGAGTTTGTTTAGTGTGGATCAATGATAGAATGAGGATGTGCTAACTGTAGGTACTTTACTGGGTAGTAAGTCGCTTCTATCTTGGCTCTGTAGCTTCAATGGCCAAAAAAAAAAAAAATTAAATAAATAAATAAAGCTGATTTTATTTAACTTTTTTTTTTACTAGCAACTGCAAGATGTATTTTTTAGTTGAAGTTCAGTTGTGGTTGTCACAATTTTCTGTCATAGAGAACATCCCCTGAGTTTCCTCATCATAAATGAGACTGATTTTATAACAAAGCAATGTTGTAGCCTACCTAATAGTTTCTAACTATACATAACATCATCTTTATGTGATTAACCATGGAGCTGTTATTATTGCTTCTTAAAGGACGCTCTCAGGAAGGCAAAGCGTATCAGCCAACAAGCCCTCCTTCCAAGCTGAAGCTTTCTGATGTACAGCTGGTCTCAGGTAGGACACCTGCATTTTAAGAATACTTTAATGTTGTGTACATGTGAGATTGGTTTCATCTTGGAAAAGCAAAAATATCTGCTCAAGAACTTGGGATCTCATGTCAAAGCATGTAACTGCTGCCAAGCTGTTAAGATTGCATGCTTTTTCTTTCACTACTGTTGGATTTACATGAGCACTGCACTGTCATCCTTGTGTTCAATCATGTATATGAAAACCTGTTTTTATTGGGCTGCTACTAGGAAAGACCTTAACAGAATGGACTTGCAGAGTGACAAGCCAGGTAGCATTCATCTCTGGTTAAGATTACCTACAGAACAAATATTTACTAGTCTTATAGAAGAGGTGGACTGCCAAGAATTTACACACCTGGCTGTTAGGAATACCTGGTTTAGTGCATAGATGAAAAGTTGAAAATTCAAAGCTATTTATCTGGTCTCTGCCCTTCCTTCTAAAAATGGTATAACTGGGTGTCTGTGCTGTGCACAGAACCTCAACTACTGCGTAACTTTGACTTTCAGTTAAGTTGTAAAGCTTTAGCAAAATCATGCATTTATTTCCTGCTTAACTCAGAAGCCACAGAGTCATTACCAGGTCTTCCTTGGGAAAGCCTTAGTTCTGCCTGCCACTGAAATTTTGGGTATGTATCTGGTCTTGGGGCAGTGGGGCTGGCGCAACCAGGACTGTCAAGCTGTGTAGGCAGACAGGACATCTACATCTGTACAACAGAATAGCATCAAAGGACAGCGAGTCTGAAAATATTATCAAGGTCCTTAAAGGCTGGAACTATCATGCATGTGGCATTCATTGGCAGCTACCTAAAACTGAGGAGTACATGGCCACCTCTCCTACTACTTCTTTACAAAATGCCATTTTTAAGAGTGTAATTACACTTATTTGGGCATGGGAGCTATAGTAACATTAGCACTTAAGACCTAGTGCCTTGCCCATTTGGCCTTCATGGTTGTATCACAGCTAGTTCAGAGGCAGGCCATGGCTAACTAGCAACAAAGGAGATGCTTCAAGGAAGCAGTAGTTCAGGTAGTTTGCAAAGGGCTGTAAAATACGTTTTCTTCTTTACTAATTTAACAAAGCTCTGAAGTCAGAAGGCAATCCAACATTGACTTAGCCTTGTTTGTTAGAACTGTAGGGGAGTTTCTGCCTCACTATGAGACGGAGGCTTTTTTCTTCCACTGTTTGAAAACTGTTTTAATTAAGCAGCACAACCAGGCAGGTGTTTGGTTGCCACCTCTTCATGCAGATAAGAATCTAAATTTTAGAAGAGCTTTAGCAAATAATGCTTCTTTTCGTTCAGGTTCTCGGGACAACATCTCCCTGTCTCCTGAAATAAAAAGGCTTTCTTCTGAGGTTTGAGTGTCCTTTGCTTTCATAACTTGGTGACGAATAGGATAGTGATAGGAACTCTGCCCAGTTCCTTTAGAACACTACCTACTTTCATTCACCTAATAGGAGCTCAGGGAACTTTAGCCCTTACTTAAAAGACAATAACATGTTTTCATCTGACCGCCTTTGTGCATGACAACATGACGCTTGTTGGAAAAGTTCAGAGCTGTCAGTGGTGAATGCCAGATACTCTGTGCCTGACGTAGGTGCCTGGAGTAGGTCAGAATGGACTGTCCAGTCTCATTCTCTCTCTTGCAGAAGGTACAGCTGAGAAGGTGAAGACTGGCTGTCAGACCTGGTTTGAATGTTCATATAGCTAGTGGGAAAAGTGCGCTGCAACACATCTGTAACAGGGACAGACACCAAACTCCATTACCTTGCTGGCATCAGCAGACCCAGCACTTTGGAGGGGAGGACATGCAGAAGGCGCACAAAGGAAATGTACAAATAAGCAGGGGGGGGGCAACAGAGGGAGACAAGAAGGGGTGTGCAAATAGGGACAGAATTGTTACAATTAGCTCATTTTGGACCCTGAAAGTTGCTCCTTTTAAAACATCATTTTATTAAATAGGTGCCTTTTGTCAGTTCAGTAAATGCCATTTAAAGAAGTGCTCTGCAGCAGGCCAGAAAGCTAAGTCTAGGGTTTTTTTGTTTCACTGTCGGTATTAAAGTGTGTGTAGAGTTGTAAAGGAGGAGGCTTTGCAATTCTTGGCATCAGAAAGATGTCCTTAGAGCGTACTGGGTGCGCCCCTCAGTGAAACACTCAAATTTGCACTTTGGCAGGACCCTGGATGGAAAGGGATAAAGCACCAAATATTTGCATCCCACCTCTACAAAACTGGGGAAGGAGAATGCACATGGTATTTGTAGCACATTAAATGAAAACACTGAGTGAGTCCAGATAATTCAGCCAGGATCAGAACTGAAGAGAAGGATCAGCTGGCATTCATTTTTGCTCCTAGCAATTCAGAGCTTTAGCCCTGCACCAATTTCCCATACCTTCTAGAAATGACCCAGGACCTAATGTGGTTAAATATTGCTCAACAAAAAAATCCCTTGCTGCTCTTCAGCAAGCTCAGCCAAGAGCATTGTGTTAGTGACTGAGCCATCAGCCAGGAAACCCTCCTTCATTTATACAGGTAAATCTCATGTTGCTCTCTGTTATTATAGGCTGCTTTGAACACCCACAGTAGGATTCTACATAAGCTGTACTGAGTGCCACAGAAAATAAACTCCACTTACAGATAATCAGCAAATGCATCTGTCCCAGCCTGCCAGTGTTCAAGACCAGGATGGAGCAACCTGGTCGAGTGTGAGGTGACCCTGCCCATCGCAGGGGGGTTGGGAAAAGATGATGTTTAAGGTCCCTTCCAACCCAAACCATTCTGTGGATTCTATGATTCTTCTCCTGGTGCACTCACTGTTTCTGAGATCTAGAACACTGTGTAGATTAAACTGCTTTATACCCACTAGAGTTTCTCACCAAACCTGCTCTGTTCTTTTTCAGTAAACAATCTACAGTGTGTTAATTTGCTGGAGAACATGGGGAAGTCAAAACAATTTTCATACAACATGAGACCAACCACAGCTGCAAAACCAAAAAACACAAGACTCAAGCACTAAGCAAAGCTGAATGTTTGGAATTTAAAAAGCATATCCCACTACGACCATTACCTTTCATCACGTGCAAGTCATCTACAACATACTAAACTTGAACTTGCTGTTTTGTATTATCCCAGCATTACAGGCCACGCAGACTTCTAAGGAGTGGGAGTACAAATCAGCTTTTAAATTCAACTGTTATTTATTTACTGACAGGACGAAATCTGAATTGCATTGGGAAACAGAAACTGAAGTGCTGAGCCCAGCCCTACAGCAGAACTGCAGGGGCTCCCAAAGTCTTCCGTTGTCAAAAGTAATTTTGAGTGTGTTCATCAAACACAGTTTCAAAGGAGAGGGAAACTGTACTGAAGATGTACCAGTTCTGAAAGACAGGCACAGAAGAACAGCCTTCGTTCTCCACTTTGGTACTAAAGACAATCATTTCTCAGCTAGATATGGATTTGGAAGGAAAAGTAGAGATGTCGACAAAAAACACTCAATAAATAAATGGCTTTCCACAGCCTGTGGGAATTGTTAGGGCAATGTTTTCTATCACTGAGATTATCACCAGTTTTTAATATATCAATAACTATTTTTATACCTGCACAGAAAGATGGTTTATGGAAAGCAAGAAAAAATGGGACCTATTCTACAAGAAACCTTGTTCTTGTAATAGCTTTGGAGCTGCCAGCATACAGCATTTACCTTGCACGAAGTATTTAAAACTAGGAGCTGAACACTAATAAAATGATGTTC